CTCTTCTGACATGGCTTTTCAAACTTGTCTCCAAATCTCAATTCTTGTTATTAAGAATAATATTTATGAACTTTTGTTTCCATATTAATTTCAATATATTTGAATAAAACTGGAAAAATAATCAATATTGGCACTTGAAATTTTAATTTCTTATGTCCTTAAATTATTTATATCGTGTTATACATAATACTTACATAAATATTCAATTTAAAAATAACACTTGAGCAGGTGAATATAAAATAGTATATTATCAATTTCTATGAGCAATATCATTATTAAATCAGAAATCTATTCCTAATGCCAATTTAAATTCTGTGAAGGCACAACACTTTCTTTAATATTTATTTCAGTAAAGAGGGCAAAGGGTATAACTTGAAATATCTCAACCAATATTTCAAGTATATATTTTAATTTTGACATTAAGCACTCCACATTTTCTTATCTGATAAAATTTTGTTATTCTACGCGTCTGAAAAGATATAACAATTTTCTCACTATAGAGCGAAATTTCTTTGCCGCTTCAGATACAAAACTTGCGGATTTCCATATTAGAAATACAAAATAAGATATTATTTATTAGTAGACAAATACCAGAATACAGAAGGCCAAACCAAACCTCTAGGAAATAACTTCATTATTTTACTTTTCAAAAAAAAAAAAAAAAAAATTACAACAATAATCTCATCACATCTGTCAGTGAAATGAGTCCACAAAACATAGGTTACCATCAATTTATATGTTTTTCAAATTTCAATGCTCGACGCCCATTGGTCGTGACGAAATCGACTTCCTCGACAAAATACGGCACGTTTTTTTTGGGCCAGTCGAATATCCTTATTCTATATATCCTTGGGTCTATGTCATAGACAAACAGAAAAATTAAAAGACTGCCAGAAGACATACGACGCGCAGGCAAATGTACCTGTAGCGCATCGACGCAAGTGCCGAAATACGTCCATCTAGCTATCTGTGTTTCGACACTAGTCCGTTAGTCTTAGCATATTCAGAAAGAACACGCTAACCTCCAGCGTTGCCAATTTGTGAGTAATTCCCCAAATTTTGGGAATCCGGAGCCGATTGGGAGTTTTGTGGGGATTTAGCAATAGGGGGCGAAAATAAGGGAGTTTCAACATTTTATTTTCCAGTTAAGAAAATAAATAAATTTTAAGCTTTAAAAGCAGACGGGACGATATATCTTTCCCAACTTAAAAATTATAATCTGCTTTTTACTTGTGCTTCCCTTTGCAAATGCTTCAGTTGAAAGAAGAATTAAACTCAAGGTATTTAACCATTACTAGGAAGGGATTAAAAAACAAGGAGGTAATTTGCAGTTTAATCTCTCTAACATATATAATAAATATTAATATTTTTATTAGGTATTTTTTGTTAAAAATAATCATATGGGAATTTTGGTGAATCGGGACATTTTTCTCCCAAATTGGCGAATTTAATTTAGATTTTTGGGTAGTTTAGAAAATTGACATTAGCAACATATATTTCTCATTTTTATTTGTTGTTTGTCCAAAAAGCGGCACGCGGCGTAGTACAAGGCCATGACCCAAAAAATAAGGTATGATGTGCACCCAGGTTAGTCACTACGTCACAGGTGATAACGGCACCATTGGTCAGCAAGCTTTGCGCGCCAATTTCAAATTGTCAAACAGATTGTGTCATCTATGAAATTTGATTGTGTCAAAATGTGAAAATAATTTTACAAATGTCAAACTCGATGATTTGACATAACTTTTGGGGTTATGTCCTAATTTTTCCCTAATTTAGGTCTTTTTTTATTAGTGGCAATTGAACAATATTGATATTTTTTTTGTATGGCGTATGACGTCACAGGTGGTATGCGCAAACTTAACGAAATTGGAGCCGCTATCGATCATACCTTGTTTTCCTTGTACCATGGTACAAGGCTTGATCATTTTTTAAGAAATTTTTGATTGTTAATTTTATTTTCTTTTTTTTTTTTTTTTTGTTTTTATTAAAATAACTTGAACAAAGGTAAGAAAGGTAATGTAAATGCCTAAGTTTTTATTTCACTGGCTATTCTTTCCAGAAATTATGCATCAACCCTCTATTTAATTAAATAAGTGTGAAAAAGAGATATCAAGGGCTATTCTGTTAAAATATCATCCGACCAGTCTAGGCCCTGTTGTGAACCAGAAGGTCTGCTAAGTTGGATGTTGGATATAGAATGGAAGGAATATCATGGCCGAGAACAAGGCATAATTCCATGTCCCTTGATGTAGGGGGTAGGTTTGTTTCTAATAGGCGAAAAACCAAAACTACTGTGAATCTTCATATTCTAGGCCTGTAAAGTTAAATAATTCCTGGAGCCATTCGAGGTATAGTACTCAAGTCGGAACGAATCAATTGATAGCACGATGAAAAAAAATAATAGCCATCATAAAACTGTAAATATGTATATAACTATTACAATGTAGCTATTTAACTGTAAGTACAATGTAGCTAGATATTTAGTAGAATAGAAATTATTATAAATTAATACAAAGTACAATAATTGGTCATTCTTTCCATTCCCATTCAATTCTTCCCATTTAATCGTTTTCCCACATAGAAAAATTAAAATTAAGAGTGCCCTTAACCAAAATAGTGAAATAAATGGAGATAGTCAAATTTTATATTGGCGTGTAAGACTTTGAATAAAAGGTGTAAAAGGATTATAAATGCATTTATATCCTTTAGTATCATGATAATATAAAAATTGAGTAGGTATCTCCTTTATATCACTGTTTTTGGTTAAGGGCACTCTTAGTTTTAATGCCTTAAAAATAATAAATATAATAATAATTTAAATCTCCCGCTCTTTCATAGTTCGTACCTGTAGCCAAGTAGAGGGCGCTAAAAGCGCAATCTCCCAACATTTTACCACGCGATTCACCACTCTCTAAACTATTAACTTTATGGTCTATGTTATGGACACACCAAGGTGGACACACGATGTTTAATATGTATTGCAGAGATGTATTGTATTTAAAAAAAGTAATTACCTATAGTATCGTATGATCGACAAAACGGCGCACAATGGATCGAAGCCTAGGAAGATAAGGACATTGGCTGTTTTTGAAGAGTTCCAAATTTAAATATTTTTTTACATATTTGTGTTAAAGAGATATTCTAGTCTTGTAAAACACATACAGTATGTCTGTTTGTTATTTACTTATTGAGTATATGAGCACCATTTGAAGTAAACTGAAAAATCATTCAAATTGGTAGATAAAGAGTCTTACATTTGATTGTAATTTTAAAATGGATGTAAAAGATATTCGTTTGTTATATACATAAACGACTTATTAAAGCGTTCTTGGGCTATAGTATTGGATTCAAGGATTGGATTGTTAAATTCAATTTAATCATTTGTTTTTTATTTATGTCATGAAGACTTAAAAATATAAAGTTTTCTTGAATTACAAAAAAATGTAAGCGGATGTAAGTGGAGATATTACGTGCAATGTAAAGAGCCACCTTTACTAGCACATATTATAAAAAAATTGACTGCCCCAAAGTGCCACTGCAAAAAATATAATGTTTTTAATGTCAAAATCCTTGAATTTATGCAATGCACGCACCGTGCACCATCAAACAATTTGTAATTTGCCGATATAGGTAAGTATAGTCGTCGAAGAACATTGGAGTGGGACTGAAGTACACTACAATACATAAGGCATATAGGTAGGTTGAAAGGCCCAGAAATGCTTTCGTTTTGGTATTCGGTATTCGGCAATTGAATTGGTATTCGGCAATTGAATTGGTATTCGGCAATTGAATTGGTATTCGGCAATTTGTCGAGTTTGCCGTGGACGCGCATCACGCGTTGCTTTGCAGAATATATTTGCAGTTTTATTTTAGATTTAGGGAAGAAATGGGTTTGATAGTCGATGGCGTTAAACAGGGATGGGGCACAACTATCGATGGAAACACTGCGAGAAGATTTTTCGAAACTTCGAAAGTCATAACAAATTAGGAATCGATAGTATTCTTCGGGAAAAGAACTACTGACCCTCCAAGTTTTGGTTTCAGGAAAAAAAATAAATGCGAAAAATTTCATCAGTACAAAAGACACAGAAGAGTTCCCTTTATGGATGGTATTACATGCCATCTTCTCTACACAAAATTCTGATGCAGACAAAATCATCGCTTATTTTTAGTTTCGATGAGAGCATCTGAAGAGGCCCCAGAGTCTAGGAATAAATACTTTCGGCAATACAGAGAATGACGTTCAAGAAGGTCTAAGAACTTTTGCAAAATTACATCTTTTGTTGTCTTCCGATCCATATATAACTGATATGCGTAGCTGTGATAAAATTCGTAGCGATTTAACAGAGAAAGCAATATCTCTTTTGCCTACTCTCAATATTTTTGTTTTCTTTTTGTTGAGATTAGTTCTTTTGTGAGTCACCCACAACAATAATTTTTCATTAACGTTATTTGGTACAAAGAGCCATATTAATTAGATTTAAGAAAAGTAATTTCTCATACATGTTATAATGTTTGTTTTCTTTTTTGTTTATAGATGAGCTCTTTTTTGTAGACACCCTGTATATTTTTTAAAATATCTGGTATAAAAAGGCCATAATTTTTAACAGAGAAAGCAATTTTCTTTTTGTTATAATATTTTTTGTTTTTCTTTTTGTTTTAGATATTAGTTCTTTTTTTGATACACCCTGTATATTTTGCAAATTATATGGTACAAAATGCCATATTAATTTAGATTTTTGTTGTATTTATTGAAGTTGTACATAAAAAACAGTACAACTATTTTCCTATGCTTCGATCCATTGTGCGGCGTTAGCGATGGTTATGAAATGAGTATTGAATAACGCTGTCATTGTGTATGTAAAATTATATGTGGACTATCATTGATTTCCAAGCCAACTGGACCCCGTTTTTTTCGATCATATGGTATATTGTACAGTAATATAATTGAAAAAAAATATGTCTAGAAAAAAGCTAGTTACAAGAAAAGACAGAAATAATTTGTCATAAAATATTTATATTTAAGTACATTTTTTTATTTACTTAGTATAAATTAAAGATAGATTATTCCCATTGTAGTAAATAATAATTGTTAAATATTTTATTTTATTTAAGTAGGGGGTAAATGTACTTATTAGTTTTGTGAAGATCAACATTAAACATTTTTCAGTGCCACAAATATAATCCAGATTTAATTAATAAACAATAGAACAAAACTGCATACATATTAATAGATATTGTTAAATTAATAACACAGTATCTTGGGAATTTTCAAACATAATAGTTGTCACTTCATAAAAATCTAAAATTCTCAATAACATCTATTCATTAAGGCACTTTAGTTAAATTTTGTTGATTTAAATAGCTCTAATAGATATACCTATTAGATATTTTAATTTATGCTTCTGTTAGCTGTTAGATCAAACACTGTCTCATCTTCATCCTCGTCTGATAATGGCAAAGGTACCATTTCCACATCACTTCTTCTTGCACGTACCCCATATTTGGTTACTAATACCCTCCTCTTATCTACATTTTTTCTCCTTAAAGTAGAGGTGTTTTATAAAATTATTACTTTTAGTTAACATTTCCTTACCTGTAAGTTTTAAATGCCACATACAAAATAAATATGATACTTATTGCAACAAAAACTAATATTGCCCTAGATACAGCACCTGTTTCAACATCATCATCATTTATTTGATTTATTATAGGATTGGTGATTTGATTAGTTTTATTTGAAATAATAGTATTATTTGCCGAAAGAATATTTGTAGAATTAATTGTTGGCTGTTCATTTCCTTTTTGTTTGAGTTTAGTTAAGTCAATATGCAGTTCTGGATTATGATTCTCAACTTTCGACTGCAATTCTGAACTGTTATTGAAATTTTTAGTGTGAATTTGCCTATCTAATGCATTTACGTAATTAATATAAATATACAATATATAAATGTTTATCAACCAAAACATTCTTATGGCATAAATAATGTATGCATACTTGAAGATGAGCTTTATAATTATTTTTTCTTACTTAGGTACATTTAAATTTCTTAGTTAAATCTTCATTGTTTATTTACTTTTTTCTGGCTTTTTTTGCTTATTTGGCAATGAAAACATGACATGAACATGAACATAACCAAACCTCCCACTGCAGAGATAACCATGAGATAACCAATGAATAAAAAAACACGTGTTTTTTTCTTCATTGGAGATAACCATATGATAAGGAGATATGAAGGAGATAACCAATGGAGATAACTAAACTGGAAACCATAGAGAAAAGAAATAAATAAAAAAGTAAAGATTTCAGTTAAAAAGTCTCCTTTTTGCTGCCAGGGCTAATCTGGACGGGGCCTACTTTGTTTACGCGGACTCCGAACCGCGGTCCTCGGCCATGTCATGGTCAATGGTCGACCGACTTGGCAAGTGTCAATCGAATCTACTCACGTGATATCCGATCTAATCCGGCTCTCCTCGAACCGGCGTGAATGAGCAGTGTGTGTCAATAGATTTTACACTTTTGTCTTTTTTTGGACAACAGCACGAAACAGAGTTTCCAGAGAGAGTTTAGAACCGATCGCCAGGGCTGTGGAGTAGTTTATGAAGCAAAAAACTACGCTAAAAACTACGCGTAGTTTTTTGTATTAACTACTTTTTAAAATTTTAAAAACTACCTTCAAAAACTACATAAAAACTACATTAAAAACTACCTTCAAAATTATAGTAAAACCTAAACAATTTAGATTTTAAACAAAAATCAAGCCAAATTCTTATCATGGAAGTATAAAGTTATACCAACAGTTATACCATTATACGGTAGTATAAAAGTTAAATATCAGAAAAAAAAAACAATTTTTTTTCAATAAAAGTGTATTTTCTATGAAATACAAAGTAACATTAAACACAAAATAAACTATAAATTCTAATTTTTAACTACTAAGTATCAAAAATATCACATAATAAAGAACAAATTCACAAAATATAGATTTTTTTTTCTTAAAATTTTGCTTAAATTGATCAACAAACAAAGTTTTTAAGTTATGTTACACTGTTATTTTAAAAAACTACATTTGTTACATAAACTACACATTTAATACTCGACATTTAAAAACTACTTGTGACGTGTAGTAAATGCTAGTTTATTAATTACTACGTGTAGTTTAACAGTTCTGCCTGTCACCTGTTACCCGATGGGCGCGTTCAGGATTGGTTCAGGGACGGTCAGCGGCTGAGTTGGCTGAGTATTTATGGCTGAGTAAGCGGTTTCCCTAAACGGTCTCTTTTTACACGCAAAAACAGTCAGCCGCTGAGTAAAATACTCAGCGGTCGGTCAGCCGCTGTGTTCCCTGAATGCGCACTTTGTTTCTTCTTTCTTGAATGGTTTTACGGTCTAAGTTGCCAGGATTATACGGCCGAGAAAGAAATATAAGGGAGGAATATTAAAAGCCAGACTTAGGTATGGGGATGGAGCTTGGGATGGGGTAAACCTTGGGGGTAAACACCCTCACAGCTAAGAACAGGTAGACATCATATATAAAAAAAGCAGTCTTTTATATGTATTTGATAGACATTCATATTGATCATATCAATGTCAAAAATGTCATTTCTTGTTCAAGTATATTCTGTGGTTCAAGTGTTTTATCTGTGGTTTATGGTCAATTTTTGATAAAAGTTGTTTTTGGTTGTTTTTAAAACTAAATATAGAAGTAAACAACTATTTTTGAATTTTTCGAAAATGGGTAAAAACAAAAAGACCAACCAAAAATTATTTTTTTCTAACTATCCGTATACAGTGAAAGAACGTTTATACAGAAGGTTTGTTTGTATATTTTTTTAAAGTTCTTGTTAAGTTGATAATTGTTTTTAAGCCCAAAATTTTCAAATGGGAGGCAACGTCATAGGTATCACAAAGGAAATCGGGGTGATAATGAAAGTCATTATTTTAGAAGAGACAGGGCAAATGAACAGCTCAGGCCATCTTCTCCTGTTGAAGGAAGTGAAGAATATATGGCTCGTAAGATAAAACACACTAGTGCAATTATAATGCGGCAGTTACTGACTCCAGATGAACCAGTTATATCATCAGAGTCAGCAATAGTACAAAGCAATGTAAACAAGTCATTCTTAGTCACGAAGGAAAATGCTTTGAGTGAAAATTTAACTAAACAAAAAGATACTCTGAATAAAACTAAAAAATGTAATAATATTGAATTTAATGTAAAAGAAATAGAAGAAAAAATTATGTCTCATATTTTGAATTTAAATGATGGAAGAAGAAAAAATTTTATTAATGCAACATCAACTGGATTAGATGTAACTATTCAAGAAATGCAGAAACAAAAGAGATTAGAGTTATCTCGAATATTGAGAAACATGTGTAATTCACCATACGATCCAAAAGAGTCGGGAGAACTTATTAACTCAATTATACCAGATATTGGAGTTAAGATAGAAGAGTTGCCCTTGAATGTTATAGAAGAACTTAGATTAACTTTAAATTTTGACTTTGATGAAGGTACTTTTCAGAAAACACAGAATTCATTAAGAATATCTTATTTATTTATTTATTTAGAAATTAATGTATAATACGCCTGGTACTAGTGTTGTAATAAAGAGAATGTTCCTGTTCATGAAGAGGGAATGTTTGCGAACATTCGCGAATCTCCAGGATCATTGTGCAGGAACATTCTCTTATAAGAGCATGTATTAGTACCGTATGATAGAAAAAAAGCGGCGTCAGCGATGGCTATGAAATCAAGATCGCTGTCATTTTATATATAAATTTATATTGGAAACATCATCGATCGTTATTTCCTAGCTAAGTGGACGCCGTTTTTTTTTCGATCGTATGGTATAAATGAGGATGTATAAGCACAAATGAGAATGTTCCCTATAAACTCTTCCAAATTAAAGTGACACTATTTTTCAGTCTAAATAATAATAAAATAATAAATACATAAGCTGTTTATACTACAGTATTTTCTCTATAGTATTTATAATATAACATAATCTTAAACTTCAGTAAAAGTCCGTTACCTATTTCTATATAAAATCACTGCAAATTACGTTACTGCAGCAAAATCTGTCTTATTCACTTATATTGCTTTTTATTGTCAATATCTTTACAAATCCTGCATTTTTTCATAAGTTTTTTATGCAAGTAAAATATTACTATTGACGTCGAGATCCTTAATTAATTTTAATAAAATAGTAATTTAATAAATCAAGTTAGGATCGAAAAAAACGGCTAGGAAATGACGATCCATGACATTTCCTATATAAATTTACGTATAAAATGACAGCGTTCTTCATTTATAGTTATCGCTGACGCCGTTTTTTCTTGATCACATTGTATAAAAACCCGCAATATGCATCATACTGCAACAAAACCCGCCTTACAGTGCTTTCAGATGGAGCGGAGCAACCGCGACGGACCGTCCGCGACTTCGAGCAAGTACCATGAGTTTATATGAACAATTTCACATGGGTCGCGTATGCTCCGTCCGGATGAGTTCGTCGACGGCTATCTTGAAAAAACATCCGCGCCGACGGTCCGCTCCATCTGAAAGCGCTGTTATCCGAATTATTTTTATGTTTTTTATGTTTAAAAATTAAATATTAATTTTTATTTCTAGAAAAACGAGATACAAAAAATGATTCCACTCAATGGACACGTTTTTTGTAAATTGAAGAATTTGCTAAACAGTTTTTGCTTATTATCACAAAACAACATTTGTTGGATGGCGGGTTTTGCAACTTGACGCCTCCCTGCGATTACAAAAAAACAAACTATGATGTGTAACTTTTTTTGGAGACACAGTGTAGAACTTTATACAGGGTCCGGTAATAGTGGTTGGGTATCTGTAGCTCCTAGAATAAAAAACTTGAGAATTTTGTTTAAGTGCAAACCCAAAGTATGTACGAGGATGTATTTTAGGAAAATATTTTAACTTCTATAGGGTGGCTCAAAAAAGTGAGTGGATTGGGATGATGTTTTTAAATGGAACACCCTGTATATCATAGTCAAAAGATATGAGTAAATACAGGGTGGTCCGAACTGTATTCCGGAAACGTCGGCGGCATATTCTGCAGATAAAAATAAGTAAAAAAGTTCGTATTAGTGTATGTCCTAAAATGCTTCCATTCACACTTTTTTGAGCCATCTTATAAAAGTTAAAATATACATCCTCGTACATACTCTGGGTTTGCACTTAAACTAATTCTCAAGTTTTTTATTTTAGGAACTACAGATGCTCGACGCACTATTGCCGGACCCGGTATATTTTTATAAAATGCTTTCAATTAACCTACATATGCTCCCAAAATTTAATTTTGACATAACCTATTGTTCTCCTTGGAGGCTCCGCGTTGTACGAGAGGCGCCACCCTGTATAGGTGTATTATGAATTTAGAATAAAATGTTAACGAACATTCACCAATGAAAGAGAAAATATGGAAATATACTTTAATTAGATTTAGTACATATTTTAAATATTTTTTCTTGTTTCTTCTGACAACAGGATAAGATATAACTTCTGAATTGTTAAATATATTTTCTAAGTTGGGTAATTTGATTTAGGAGTAACGAGTCAATAAGCAGTTATGGAAACCAGAGGTATTTTATAAAAATAAAGATATTTTTCAAGTTTCCTACTTTACTAGTGAAATATTAAAATTTTCTACAAAGGAACTTGCCTAAAAGATCAGTACATTCAAAAATGTCACGTGAGCGGTAACGCAATGCAGTGTCTTTGATACTGTAAATTACTACTACACTATGTAGTATTGATATTGTTACTCTGTAATTCCCAGAAATGAGGATGTGTTCTGAATACCTATTTGTTCCCAATTTTTTCTTCCTTTTGATCTAAATGTCTTTTCAGTATAATGAAAAAAACTAGAAAATTCAGAATAAAATTTAAAAAAGTAATTGATTGATTTTCCAATCTCCTTTCATTACGCTAGTTATAAATTTTCGACATTTGCTCGTTTATTCACCTTCGTTTTCAGGGTACTTGTCGTTGATTACTCGCATCTTCAAATATCACTCGCATTTCCGAGAGATCCATATAACAATAAATGCAATGTGTATACGCAAAGCTGCGAATGATCTAAAGAATAACATTTCAGGGAACATTCTCCAAAAATACATTCTTGAGCATTTTACGCGTTATACTTACTCAATTAATTAACATTAATTAGTTGGTATGTAAACTTTTCAAATATTTGTTTTTAATTACAGAACCAGTTGCTAGAACAGAATTCGGATTGGATGTTGACAATCAGGACAGGATTGTTGACAATTCAGGATTGGATGTTGACACATCTGATACTTCTAGTTATACAAAAAGTCAAAATTGCATCGAAAATAGTTTTACTACTTTAGAAGTTGATAGTATAGAAATTAAAACTGAAGGTATATTAGAAGGGGATAATGAAGTAAACAGGAATACACTTGATGATAGCGATCTACAAATAGTTGATGATAATTCAGTGCACAGTTGCAATACTGTTTTGATAAAGAATGAAATTGAAGACGAGACTGAATTGGAATCAGAAATTATTGACTTGGAAGATTGTGGCAATAGTTCAGAAGAAACTGTTGTATCTCCGAGTATAAGCAGCAAAGAACAAAGATTTAGACAAGAAGTAAATAGCAACAAAGAAGTAAATGCAGCAAATATAATGTCTAATGGTGAAAATCTATCTCTATCAGAATCAGATTTCTATAATTCCTTACAAAGTTTTTCAAGGAATTATGGCTGCGATGTTAGCCATTTAAAGGAAGTTTCGCATAAAATGAATTTTATTGATAAGTGTATCGACCAATTAAAGGAATTTAGAAAATCAATATTTAATGCTTACTGCTATAGTTTCGAAAACAATCAAAATGGAGGAGAGAATCAAATTACAAGTACACTTACATTGACAAGTCCAGTTGTTGATAATGAGGTGCCCTCAAAATTACCAGAAAGAATTTCAGAAAAGCAGAATACTTTACTGACATCTGATATGCATGAAAATTACTGCAAAACCATTAAAGAGGAACAGGATAATATAGAACACATTTTAAATTTTCCTACACTTAATGAAAAGGTTTTAGTTATTCAGGTATAGCAAATATAGTCTAGTTCTAGTTAAACTGTATTTTTTTGTGGAAAGTTTTGGGTAGTTCTTGGTTTAATTTTTTCTCTATATTTTTTGCGGCGCTGAATGTGAATTTGATGTTTGCTAAGAAAATTTCGTGACGGAACATTTTCAGCCTTTCGTAAAAAAATATTAAAAATAGAAGAACTATCTTGAAATCAAAACTATATTGCGTATTGACTTTAGATGGCCTGTACTTACTTTGCTGTAAATATCGTAATCTTAAATCATACAGAATGTTCAAAATTCTACACTTGTATATTATTTTTTTAATAGATGGAGAATTAAAAAATTAATTTTTTTTACGTAGAGGATTTCAACATTTTTAACGGTTTCGCAGATATTCGCGGTTTTATATTTCATATGTCATTTTCCACAGTAAATTTTTATCAAAGCCACCTAATGATTTTTATTTCGTATTTTACCGTTGAATGAGCCATATGAAATAATACCCCAAGTATCTGCGAAACCGTTAAAAAATTTGAAATACTGAAAAAATGTTCATTTTTTAATTCTCCATCTAGTAAAAAATAATATACAGGGTGTTCCATTTAAAACAAAAACGAAGAAAAAATATTTTACACTTTAGAAAGTTTGACGTAGAATTTTGAACATCCTGTACGATTTAAGATTACGATATTTATATCAAAGTAAGTTCAAATCATCTAAAGTAAAAACCTAATATAGTTTTGATTTTAGGACAGTTTTTCTATTTTTAATAATAAAATTCTTTTAAGAAAGGCTGAAAAATATATATTTTTTATTTATTTATTAATATTTCTGAAACTGTCGCAATACATTTTCTCATATCTGAGGATTATGTAAAGTGATCTGAAAGGAAGCCAAAAATGCAATAATATACAGGATGTTCCATTTAAAAAAAGTCATCCCGATCCACTCACACTTTTTTGAGTCACCCTATAGAACTTAAAATATTTTCCTGAAATACATCCTAGTACATTACCTACTTTATGTCCGCACTTAAACTTATAAAAAAAATTCTCAAGTTTTTTATTCTAGAAGTTACAGATACCCGACGCAAAGATATCCAACTTCAGCAGTATCGTGCTAGTGGGCTTGGGGATCTTTAATAACATTAATGACGGTTCAAGCCATTATTTTTCTGTAAAACTTTAAGAAACTTTAATTTCTATGGTTAAACATTGTCGAAGTTGTGTCGTACCCATTTATTGCTTGAAGGATTAACGTAGTATCAGGAGACAGTTTTGTCGGCTGCAAGAAAGGGTGTTACAGATGTAGTCCTTTGTCTAGTTTGAGAAAAAAATTAATCTGCAACTATACTTGTACTTATATTTATACATAATTTAAATATAATAAAAATTGGATTTTTTATTATCAGAATTGGTATAATTGTTGAAATCACTCTCTATATGACATTCAACTTAAAACTAAAAAAAACCACATGCTCGACTTCAATAATATTAAGACTTTTGGATTACAAAAGTAGGTATTTACGGACATTACCAAAAAACGCTAATTTTCAACCGGCTGTTGAGGCCGAATAGTTCTTCAGAGAAAAAAAACTTAAATAACACAAATTATAGGAAATTGTCTGTACTTTAATTTTTAAAAGAAATATTATTTACGAAAAGTTGATTTTTCTAAAGTTGTAAACAAAAAAAAAACGCAGAAAATCCAATTTTCCCCTTTTTGCATTTTTCTCCATGTTTCGACAAAATTTTATTAGCAAATCTCAGATTTGAATTCAGCACTCCCAAAAACATAATAAATAGAAGAAATTAGAACTACCCCAACACATCCCCTACTTTTTTTACAAAATCATCTATTTGCATTCTTTTTTAGAGACTAAAAGAAGAATTAGTAATAGGTACAGATTGCGGAAATATTTTTTGTATATGTTTGGCCACTGGAGAAATAATTTATACATTAAAGATAACAACAGTCACATTAACTAGTATGTTATTTATTAAGGGATTAAATGGTTTTATGTATATGTATATAGGAAGTTTCGATAGAGTATTGAGAGTATATGATTATTATAATAGACAGTTATTGAAATCTTTTGCTCTTGATGATCAAGTAAGCTGTATGGATGCTATGTGGGGATATATTTTCATGGGTTGTAAGGCAGGAACCCTTGTAAGATATTGTATAGAGGTAAATATTTTTAATACAATAATAATTACACCCGGGAAAAATAACCGTAAAGAAGCGATAACATGAATCCCGCCGAAAGATTTAGAATGGAGGCTAAACTTGCTAACTAGTGTTGCCCATCTCTAAAATCAAAAGTCGGTAGTTTCGAGCTTGAAAAATCGGTAGAGAAAGAAAAATATCGTTTGATTCGATCCTAGTTTGTATAAATACATACAGGATGTTTCAAAAAAAATGTACCATATTTCGTGGGGAGATTCCTAAAAAAATAAGGTTTAGGCGCGATTCTGACTAACGTACCGTCAAGTAAATATTCTTAAATACATAGGTCCGCTTCTGCTTTGTTTCGTAGCTTTGTTAGTCTTCATTATTTTCGATTTTTTATAATTTTCTTTTAAGTGCTTTAACGATTTTCTATTCGTATCGTCATAATTTTTGAGGGTAAAAGTTACTATAAGTGCGACATATTTTAATGCTAAAAAGTGTCGACATATTTACCAGGGACGTGCATATGGGTTATCACTAGAATATTTTTCTAAAAAAAGCATGTGCGTCACTGACTTTTTCTCTTTTTAGCAAAATTTTCTAGTCTGTTTACTGCCGATGATGAGATAAACGCAATTTTATTAATTTACCTTAATTCTAATAAGTCTCTAATAGCACCCTTTAAAAAAACATTAATGTCATGAACTGGCCGAAGTGTTAAAAGAGTACTCGTTGATTTCTCATCAAAAAATATGAAAAAAAGTTCCTATAAACATGAGTAAATGCATAGTTTTAAAATTACAGGATGTTAAATCTTTTAAAAAATAGGTCTTTTGTAATTCTTAATTGCGTTTATCTGATCAAGGAGGCCGAATTCGACAAAATATCAAGAGATAACTTTTAATTGGCATTAAACGGCCTACACTAGTTTTGATATCAAAAGAAAAAAGTCAGTGGGCGCACATGTGTTTTTTTGAAAAATATTTCAGTGATAACCCATATGCACGTCCCTGATGAACTTATCGACACTTTTTTAGCATTAAAATATGTAGCACTTATAGTAATTTTTACACTCAAATTTCATTCGAATCACTAAAAGTACTTGGAAGAAAATTATAATCAATCGAAACATTATTAAGACTTTACACCCTGTGTGAAAAATAAATCTTATTTTTACGTGAGGAATCTCCCCACGAGATGGCAAATGTTTTTTGAACACCCTGTATACTTTTTTTTAATTTATTTTTCGATATCATTATGGAGTTCAATGGACGAGCAAAACTCAAAGGGTTTGAATTTCGCTCATTTCCATTTTGAACTAAGTTGTCCATATATGTTATTTTGTAGGTATATACTATTTCCTGTAGTTAATTTGCTTTTTACTAATGTGATATACACATAGATCTTATTTTTTTACAATATTATTTTACAATATTTTATTTTGCTTTGTAAATTTTTGTTTGTTTGGTTTGGTTTGGTTTGGAAGTTTAATTTTGAATTAAAGAATATTAGTATTGTATAACAATGTATTTTCGAATTAAACTAACAATTATCATACTTATATATTCTTTTGCTGGGCAAATTAAAATGTCATAATAGAACATCGGTAATCAATTCCATGGATACATAGTTTGAAGTTATTTATAAATTTTTAGAAAAGAAAAATTGAATCAACCGAAAAAAATGTTGGATTATGTACAATGGTAATTAAAGCAACTCAAGAAGGGCCACGTAAAGTGCTGGTAGTAGGTTATAGAGGAGCTCCAATATATTTAAGATGTGCAATGTCTGGCCTTTTTTTGCGATACTTTAGTAGCGACGCCATATCTCCAACTGTATATTCGTTAATTTTGGAGAATAATTTTTTATATTGTGGGACTCCACAACAAAGTATATTGGTTTTCTCATTTCATGTAAGTTATTTGTCAAATTCAATACATTAATAATTGAAGGATATTTTGAGCTTTACGGAGACTAACCATTAGGGTAGGGTGCACCAAAAAAAATATTTTTTTTTTAGTTACCGGGTAAAGTTTAAGCTTTTAATGTTAATATTAAGAGGTGCCTCATCATTGATTTTCTATTTTCCATTTAAATAATATGGGGAAACAAATTCTTTTTTTCTTTGGAATTTTATCGCGTTCTAACAAATCAGCGTTTTGTACAAATCAATATACGTTCTTGTAGGAAATTGAACGGCCTTCAAAAAAGGTCTGATATGAATTTTCATTTACTCAACTCGTTTGAAAGTTATTGAAGGTTAAAGTTGAACATCGTATATGATAACTTCCACAATTTTTTATATTTTATCAAGAAATATTGGCTCTTACACATAAACCATCATATTTTATCACTATTGTTAGAGATATATAACAATCGATCTCTATAACAGTAGATTGTTTGTTTACAGCAGAGAGAAACTAATAACTAAAGTGAGAGGGCTTGTGGAATAGGGCATTTCGTAGACAAGTTTATTTTGTCACCGCGCATCCCAGACGCGCATAGCGTTTAGGCGGTCAAAAAAGGAAGTTTTCAACTTTGCAAGTTAAACATTTAAAAAACAGGATTAATTAGATTGTCAGTAGCTTTTTCTATTTCTTAGTTCTAGAAGGAGATAACTAAAATCTGTTGATATTCGGAGCAAATCGGAGTAATAAATTGTTTTTAACTGAATGTGCCTGTTTTTTTAGCTTGTCAGAAGAGAAGATTATTGTCATTATTGATTATTTCAGATTCCACGAGTATTCGGCATTTTTGTAATTTTTGTTTTGTGGTTGAGACCCAGACAAAACGTTTCCCTTAAAGGTAAGTTTTATCTCGGTAATTATTTTAAGATACCTAATAGTAATAGTGAGTGCACATAATAATTATTGTACATTGCTAATTTAATTTTTTTAATTTAAAAAATCACATTCTTTTCTGATACCTATGAAACGACTAGGTATTATACCTGGTATTATTTCCAGTAATACAAATTATTTTCTTCAACTGCTAGGTTCTTGTTATAGAATAAAGACTATCAAAAACATTGATTACCTACGGGATACCTACTGATACTCTATGCGAGCTCCCAACCGTGCTTTCCTGTTCACTCCCAACCAAGTTAGATAAAAAAGATACTGAAGATTGCAGCCTTGAGTTGGAGTATGGCAAGGAGTATGGAGTTAAATAAATTATTATGTTCCTACACAGTATTTTATTTATAGGTTTTAATGTTTTAAAGTCTAATAATATATTTTCGTTGTCAACAAAATCTAAAAAGACTACGAAGATTTCTTATTATAAACTTGAAAGATTAAGATTCGGTTCAAATATACAAATTTTAAATTTTTGGCGCCAGAATATAGGTATGAATGCAACCTACTATATCGATAATGCGCTCATAGTTCGGGTTAGACGCCAAAGGCCGCGCCACTAACACAGTCTTCAAAAATTAACGTTGATCGGTCTCTCTCACTTTAGTTATTAGTGTTCTCTCTGGTTTACAGGTGATAATATTATATTGACGTTTTAGTAATAAAGTCGTCAGAAGTTTAAATATTTAAATTGAATTTATTTCAAAAGGAATTTTGTAAAAGAGATAACAAATTCAGAAGTGGGATAATCGTCCGACGTTCTTTTATGAGAAGCATGAGTGAACAGGATAGTGAAATTAGCCCAAATCCTGTACTGGAATCAAATTTTGAAAATGTTTACCGAAGTTAAGTAGAGCTGCCTATTAGTATGAATACACAGACACGACAGGGTGAGCCTGTGAATTTAAATACTGTATTGGATACGATGCAGGCTATAATCCAACAAAATGCCATTATACTGCAAATGATGAACGACCGTCAAAATCAACAACGGGATGTTCCAAATTATATATTATGCCTGATTTTTCGAAATCCATTCCATTTCTCGACGGTATTGATTTGAAGAAAAGTAAATTTTGGTTAGAAAGTATAGAAAGTGCCGCACAACTCCATAACTGGCCTCCAGCATTTATGTTGGAAACTGCGCTTTTCATTTAACTGGAGCAGCATACCATTGGTATGATTATAGAAGAGAATACTTAAATTCTTGGAGACAATTCAGATAGTTTATGATTTATTATGTATCATCATTATGGTAATTATGTATCACCGTTATGTTAATTATGTATCATCATTATGGTAATTATGTATCATCATTATGTTAATTATGTATCATCATGATGTTAATTATGTATCATCATTATGGTAATTATGTATCATCATTATGTTAATTATGTATCATCGTTATGTTAATTATGTATCATCATTATGATATTTATGTATCATCATTGTGTTAATTATGTATCATCATTATGCTAATTATGTATCATCATTATGGTAATTATGTATCATCATGATGTTAATTATGTATCATCATTATGCTAATTATGTATCATCGTTATGTTAATTATGTATAATCATTATGTTAATTATGTATTATGATCCTATTGCTAGCTTATTGTATTATTATGAATTTCTTATGTTCTTTATGTCATTGTTATGCTTCTATGTCATTATTATGTTTATTATGTCATTATTATGTTTCTAATTTTACTATAAATCTATTGTTATTTGTTATCGATCGGGGCGATCGAGTGTCAGGTTGGCTGACCTGTTAGAGATATATAACAATCGATCTCTATAACAGTAGATTGTTTGTTTACAGGTGATAATATTATATTGACGTTTTAGTAATAAAGTCGTCAGAAGTTTAAATATTTAAGTTGACTTTATTTCAAAAGGAATTTTGTAAAAGAAATAACACTATATAATATGGCTCAAAAATGTACATAAAAATATACACTACTTCACTATATATTATATTTCAACACAAAATATGATATTTTATGTTTTTGAGCCATTATTTCGTGATAAAATATAAAAAATCTTGGAAGGTAATTGTGAAATAAGGTGAAGTTGAATTTTAACCTTCAATAACTTTCAAACGAGTCGATTAAAATGAAAATTCATTTCAGACTTTTTTTGAAGACTTTAATTTCCTACAAGAATATGTATTGATTTTTACAAAACGCTGCGCTGATTTGTTAGAACGCAATAAAAATCTAAAGAAAAAAAAATTGTTTCCCCGTGTTATAAATGGGAAATAGAAAATCACGATGAGGCACCTCTTAATATTAATATTAGCTCAGACTTTACCAGAATTTTTTTTTCATCATCCTGAACGATATTGATAATTTCACGCTAATTAAAAAGAAAGAGAAATATTTATTTTTATTGGTACACCCTAATAATCACACAGAAGCGATTTTTCTTGTAATACATTTTTAGTGAGTTTATTTGATTATTTTTAAATGCAAAAAAATACTTTTTTGGAGTAGTAAAGCTTGTTTGAAAACGCTGTTTTCTGTTGACTATTGTAAAATTTTAATTTATCTATTTATATCTGGTCTTTTTATAGATATATGTTTTTTATTTTTGTAAAAAATCATAATTTTGAAGGAATATATATGCCATGTATTTCCTTTCTATATTTTTTACATTTTTTACTTGTATTCTTAGATCTAAACTTGTATTTCACATAAAAAAACAAAACAAAAGGGACAGATGCTTAAATTTAAAAATTATATTTAAATATATAATAATTAACAAATTCTCTTAATAAAATTTTACACATATTTTCATAATTGTCGAAATTCTGACTTCAAAGTAAAAGAAATTTATTCTGTACTACAGGATTAAAATTTTGATTGCTTTATGAATCATCTTCCGATTAGGAAAATTTATATGATAGAAACTTTATATTTAAATACTATACACTCAAATTGTTATTTATTTTTTTGTTTTAGAACGGCAATCTTGTAAATAAGATCAGCTCTGAAAATCTTAGAGGGATAAGTTGCATGAACATTTATAACAGTCATCTTTTTGCTGGTTGTTATAATGGAAACGTATATGTATACAATTTGAATACACAAAGTAACGTCGCAATTATGGAAGGTCCGGGGGGAGGTATAATATCAATGGAAGTGCTCCACAACCAGGTAAATTTTCTTCCAATAATTACACACTTCCATGTTTCTTGTTCTTCCTGCTTTGTTAGGGTACGGATACAAAGAAAGCTTGTTATAAGCGCTTATTACCAGCGCCTACAAGACTACACAACGAATTTTTAATTCTTGGTCGCTTATTGTCTGTGCTGGGTGTGCGTATTGTGATTTTCGACGCTGGTTTTTGGCGCTAGCTCTGGTCAAAGAATATTATACTCTGGCGCTGGTTTTCAGCGCTGATTAACCAGTTTTCTTTGTGTGCGAGCATTACATATATTTCCAACTTTAAATTATAAGTTTTGAGAATTCACCTAAAACATTGTTTATATTTCTAGGTAATTGTTGGAACACTTACTAAACAATTTACTTCCATTCCCATTCCAAATTCAGTTCTTTCTTGATAGAAATTCCAGTCTGTATATTAAGGATAAAAAAACAGGAAACTACAAAAGCGCATGTATACTTTTATGATTTATATAAAATATTTTCAAAATGTAAATAACTTTTTAACTAGAATATGTATATATTGTTTTGTTATGTATATAAATAGAATTAGTATTTCTTTTTAATGAATTTTGGTATTTTGGTAATCCTATACACTATACAAAAATTTAAATAAATTTTTAGGAGCCTATCATAATGCAAAATCAGGAGATAAAAAAAATACATATGCGAATCACATACTGATTCAAGGTACAGTAAAATCTATAGTTTCTACAGGAAAAGCATATACCATCTCGATAGTCGACATCCAAATAATTACAGAAAAGCAATGTACTTATTTATGTAGTAATGCAAGTAAAGTAACATACAACTGTTACTGTTACACTATAGGTTAGTATTAGACCGGCTATAGGTTACAGTAGCGACATCTTGAAATAGTTTGCATTGTTATTGATATTTTGTGCTGAATTGATGTAAAAGCCGGTTTTTGTAATGCTCCAGTATACAGATTTGTAAAATTTGGTGCCTACATAGACATAAAATTGAAGTTTGAACTAGTTTTCTCTGACTTTTTTTTCTCATTGAGTCGATTTAGACACTTGCCAAGTCGGTATGCCATTAACCATGATATGGCCGAGGACTGCAGTTCGGATTCTGCGTAAACAAAGTAGGCCCCGTCCAGATTATCCCTGGCAACAAAAAGGAGACGTTAACTGAAATCTTTATTTTTTTTCTTCTCTAACTGAATATTTGCACTTTTTGCACATCTCAAGAGAATTTTGGTTTTTGGCTGGCATGACAGTTGTCACATCACCTATGTCCAAATTTGTTATTTAGTATAGGTACTGAAAAATTCTAGGCATACAATTTAATTTTTAATAACTAAATAGCCAAAAAAATATTTTTTAAGTGTTCTATAATATAGAATAGTTTTAAGGTATAGACTCTATAATCTGTACTGCTTATGTAATTATTGGAAAGACTAGGTCAAATTATCACCATATTTATAGGCTTGGTGCATTTCAGTTCATTTTAAAAATTTCGACCGTAGCGCTCGAACGGCAGCAATTAGAAGTGCCGGGTATTAAAGTATTTCACGCACTCCCGTTACCATTTATGTGGATCGTATTGAAATAATATTAATACCTATCGTGGCTTTGTCATAATAGGTATTTAAGTATTTGATTTTTTACTAGTGCAGTTATTGAAACTATAAAACACTCAGGTACGAGGTTTGTGTGATGTAACGCTGTTTCGGGTAGTAAAAAATAAGTGAAAAAGAACCCGAACTAGGCGTTTTGTTGTGTTGCGACAATTTCAAATGTTAATAAAATTGCCGAAAAAATGTTAATGCGTAAAGGAGAGCGTAATTAGGGCATTGTTGGGTGCAATAACATTCAATAACTCCCGGATTCACAGGTTCTCATACCGATTTGATCAAAAGCAAAAATGGACTCAAGCAGTTCGACGAAACAAGTGGGTAAACAAAGTGCTCATTACATAATGAAAAAACTAAGTAGGATAGATAGAGTTGGATAGGCTATTTATATACAGGGTGGTCCGAACTGTATTCCGGAAACTTCGGCAGCATATTTTGCAGATAAAAATAAGTAAAAAAGTTCGTATAAATGTATGTCCTGAAATGCTTAGTTTCGGAGATAAGGGTGTAGAAGATTCATTTTCGTTTCGATTTTTTTCAAATAATTTCTTAAGTAACGTTAATATTTGGATGAAAATTGGTGGATGTGTGTTTTTTGACATGGCAAATTTGATTTTGATGTCAATATGACTCCCATTTGTAGGTGGCGTCACCTACATGTGTTTTAACTGTTTTGAAGAGTAATAACTTTTCGTCGGTACCTGTATAAAACTACTGAGTAAAAAATATACATTTACGACCTTTTTTACATAAAAAAGGTCTCTTGGTAAAAATCGCTACGAGTAATGGTTCTCGAGATATTTGGAATCGAAATTATCAATACTTGTCCTCATTGACATAAATTAAACATGTTGACTAGTTATTAGACTGAAATCATAAATTTGAAATCTTTTTGTGTCATAAGTTCAAAAGAAACTGTTTAATCATCATTTTTTCGCAGAAAAACTTTAAAATTTTTTTTAATTTTAAAATTTAAAAAATTTATTATTTCAGTCAAATAACTATACTCAACGTGTGCTTATTTTTTGTCAATATTGACATGTATTGACTATTTCCATTCTAAATATCTTGAGAACGGTTGCTTGTAGCGATTTTTACAAAGAGACATTTTTACGTAAAAAGTCATGGAAATGTATATTCTTTTATTCAGTGGTTTTATACAGGTACGGTCGAAAAGTTATTACTCTTCAAAACAGTTAAAACACATGTAGGTGGCGCCCCCTACAAATAGGAGTAATTTTTACATCAAAATCAAATTTCTCGTGTCACAAAACTCCCAGATAGCAATTTTCATTCAAATATTGACGTTACTTCAGAAATAATTTTGAAAAAATCGAAATAAAAATGAAATTTCTACACCCTGTATCTCCGAAACTAAGCATTTTAGGACATACATTTATACGAACTTTTTTACTTATTTTGATCTGTAGAATATGCTGCCGAAGTTTCCGGAATACAGTTCGGACCACCCTGTATAACTAGAGGTTTACTTACTATAAACTTCTTTTATAAATGTACCATTTTACTATAAAATAATTATTATATATGTACAAGGTATTCTTATATTTCAACTGATATCAAGCATACACACGGTAACTTTGCTGATTTAACTTATAGCTGGCATTGAAGTGATTGTAGAGTTCCAGGATTTCCTCTAACAAGTCGACTTTTCAGGCTCCATATTTCCTGTACATAAGAGGATCATAAGGTGCAAATGACTATATTTATTTGACTTACTGCATAGCTCAAATGCCAATTTCTTTTTCTTTTTATTAAATCCTCTAGTTCTTTCCCTATGTCTTCTTGGAGAGTTCCTTTCACATCGATAAAATGACAATCGTTACTCGCATAATGAGCTGAAATTGCTTTTCTAAATCCCTTAAAGACATAATTAATTGAATATGTACCTATGTCATTTACCTAATTATAATGATGTTTATTGATGTGAGATGTATTTATTATTCAGAATATTTTTTTATTAACTGGTAGGTATTAACTATGTTTGTATATTATTATAATATCGTTATTTTATAAATTTCGTCACCTGTGTTCTGTTGGGTCCAGATCCATGCAACATTAACGGGTGAAAGAATATTGTATCTCCTTTTTCCATAATGGCAAATGTTTTAGGTAAATTATCTTTGTCCTGTATGCCATGGTATAGTTTCTTTTTGGTTCCCTAAAATGGTTTCCGTTATTAAATAAACCTTCCTAATTAAAACTAGTCTTAAAACTAACATCGGGATACATGTGCTTATAGAGAGGTCCCTTATGAGAACCGGGAACAACATAGAGGCATCCATTATTTTGATCTACATGTTCCATAGCGGTCCATGTTCCTATTATTTTATCTGCAGGTCTAAATGGAAAATAATTTAAATCCTTAAACAATAAAAAAAATATTATCTACAAGATAATTTATATCAGTACGGGGAGATAGAAGGACAACGAAAAAGCAGATGAAATCGCCCACTAAGGCTTATCAACGTCATTCGTAGGCTAAGAACTATTTTGTAATATTGGCGACAAAACCGTAAGTAGCCAATAAATCTCAAAAATTCACCAGGACAGAAGGATGTTAAATAGGTCATAGTCGAACACACGCAACATTTTCGGCAGACCTTTATGTATTCATATGGCTCACATCCAGTGTAAAATTTGAAATAATACATATATCTCAAAACTAATCAGAACGCAAAGTGAGTTCGGCAGACCTGAAGCAAAGAAAAGCGTAGTTGGTATAGACCCATGGCACAGCCCATGGTATAGACCATTCCAGAATGACGTCACTGACAGGGCGGCCATATTGGCTGGGAGACACACAAACCAATTTATTTTCACGATTTCCGTATGTAAACACGTTAATCCAAGGTTCAAACGAAGTTAAAACGGTGAAAAATGCTTCATTTTTGTTGCGTTATTAAGTGTTCAAAGCGTGATAATGTCTCATTTTTTCGAATTCGTGCTGCTTTGACCAGCTTGAGTTCGTTAGTAAGAGGAGATAATTTAAATGCATTATCTAAAGTGTGAAGAGAAGTGTGGGTAAAAGCTGTAAAAGCTTTGAAACGAGATCCCTGTATGAAAGCGAGATTAAAAACAAACGAATTTGTTCGAGGCACTTTATAACTGGTGAGTTCGTTTTTCAAAATTATCATTCATTAAGTTTAAAATTAGCGCAAAATACATTTTGTTTTTTTAAGACAAACTACGTTAGAAGATAAGTCTAATCCAGCCTGAATACCCAGCCAAAATTTAGGATATACTTCCTGTCTCCAACCCTGCAATCTTCTAGATTTTATGATTTAGAGAAAGAGTTAGAAATGAATCAAAGGTTTGTTATTTATAGTAAGAAGTAAGATGTTATTTATAGTAAGATGTAAGCGTATAAAGTATTTATATTTTTAGGCTGAAGATGTTGCTATAAAGGATGAAAATCGACCAGTGAATTTTCATAATCCTCCCAATCATTAATCAATTTTATTCAATTTAAACATCATCTGAGATAGAAGGCGATAAGCCCAAATACGTGACGAGGATAACATTTCTGGAAGACCAGCTGAATAAGTTTAACGATAACAGGGCTGTGTTCAGATAAAATATATATTAATGTATGTTTATCTAAATATAATACGATTTAAAAAAAATATGTTTATTTTTAATAGTATAAACCTTTATTTATAAAGTTTAAATATTATAAATTTTAAAAAAAATATTATCCGAAACATCAATCGATGAGTAAAATCGGGATGAAAAGCCTAACCACTTCACAGAAAATTATTTATTATTATTTTTCTGTCTGTGACCTAGTATTATCTCAACTAGATCAATACCAGGAGACTTTGTCTTCTGTAATTTGGCCTCATAAAAAAACCCTTTAATTGGTTGACCTTTTACTGATTCTAGGATAATTAAAATTGACGACTAAAGAAAGTTAAGAATTAAAGAAAATATGGATAATATAAATTGATTGGATGCAAATTAATGGTTTGTTTACGGTTTGTATGCCTCCCAGCGAAAATGGCGGATCTGTCAGTCACGTGTTCTGGTCTTATAGGGAATAAGGGAATTATAACAATTATAACCTCAATATGCATTTAATGCTGATGGGATTGACAGACAGTCATGTGCTGATTCTGTCCATCAAAAGAGGAAACGGCGGAACATAATGTTGTACGGTAGCCCGGAAATATTCGTTCTTTTTACTACGCAATGATACGCCATTGGTTAAGGTCTGTGGAAGGTTATTTCCAAGTTATTATATTTTTTAAAAAGGGTAATCCGAACAATGTAATCTAAAGATTAGAAGAGAATAAAATCTGCAAAAGTCGCAGTGTATCTGATTGGATCAAATTTTGCTAGGAATTGCCCGATTGACATGATATGAATTATGACTATTTGTTACATACAGTGTGTTTTTAGGCAAAGGATCTTTCTTGGTGATTGAACAAAAATAAATAAAATTTCAAATCTCTAATACTATACCTGATGTAATGGATGGATCGAACAGTCCTCTTCAGCATTAGGAGGTTTGTTTATGAGCATAGAGTTTACTGCTGATATATTAGGCCCTATTAAGTCTTCAATTATATCTAAGATTTCATTACAGGTTATATATTTTGATAAAATCTCATCATAAGGAAAGTCATGTACCTACAATATATATTTTCTACTACTATTTTTTCTGTCAATCCTTTTAATTTTTTGAATAATTTATGAACTAATACTAATAATTTTTTATTATTAGTATTAGTGTATATATTTTTCCAATATTTTTCTAAGTATATAAAATCATCTTGAAATTGTATGCAATAATGTATAATTATTATAATTTGTTTGCATTAATATAATGGATAGGAAAACATATTAATTAATTCATCAACAAACTTTAATTGAAAGAAAATTTGTTATTACAAAATCTTTTTATTTTTATATTATTCCGGAAGGAGAATTTGATCTTTATAGTTAGCTAAACTGTTATTTTGTATAATTACTAATTACGTATAAGTTTGTATAATTTTTCGTATTTTTATGAACTAGGTAGTCTTCACGTATCCAGTTCTTAGAATTAAGAAATACAAATAATTGCCAATTTTACACTTTTTAATATTTATACATTTTAATATTACACCTATATTAACTTAAAAATTTAATTCAATGATATATTCATTTGTTAGCTTTACTTCATGTTTTTGTTATAATTTATTTACCTTATTAATGAGATATTCTCCTTTCGCACCTTTTTTACTTAAAGATAAATCTTTCATAACTATGGCTACATCGGAGTCAGTTCTTTCATTGCATATATCCACAAATCTTTGTCTAAAAAAGTTGTTTGTAAACTTCAATTATCAATGAAACAAGCTCTACACGATGCAGTGAATAGAACGAAGCAGGTCAAGGTCGCGTTTCGTCTGCCAACTTTGTTGCATTTCGGCTTATCTCGGCTGTCTTGACCTATTTCGGTTTGGCTACTAGTGAAATTACAGAGAAGGGCGTGTTTTTTTGGCGTTTCCCGTTGCCTCGTTCAATTTCGTTTCGTTCCGAACTGTTTCCAAATCGTGGAGGTATTTGTACCCGAGGCAAAGGATTTTTTTTCACAAATCTTAGTGAAATGAGTAAAACTAGACATTTCTAAAATATCTGTTGTTACGATGATATTTCTTTAATTACATCTCGTTTTATGTTGATACATATTCCACAAGATTAATATTTGACTACGCATTTATAATATGTAGAGTAGATATTTACGAACAAAACTTTTCATTTAATCTGTATAGGAATATAATTATAATATTTTAATTATTTAATTTTATTATAATGAATTACTATATAAAATCGTATATTATGTTATGTTTGTTTACGCGGCCTTAATTGATTAATATAACAGTAGTATTGCTTGATAAGTAATATTGGCAACATCATCAATATATCGAGCTGATTGAGAAAATTATTGATTGGCCCGATGTCAATAAAAGAATGGTCCACGGACATTTTTAAAGAGCAACGTTCTCTTATAGTTTTAAGAGAAAACTCTGTAATAGATGCTTTTGTGTATTATAATAATAACACGGTTTGATTTAATGCCATTCAAAAATAAGAAATATTTAGAGTATAAATAGTTTAACACCGTGGATTATAACCTATAAAAGGTGGACCGCCATCGCCAGAACAGTTAGTCACTGTTGCCCTGTAGTTTTACGATTTTAAATTTTGGAAATATATTTTTTACTATGTTGTAATTAATAATATTAGACAATGATTAAAACTAAATTTTCTTGTGTGACCTTAGAGCAATAGCCAATTTAATCTACCATCGGTAATTGTTTTCTAAATGCACTGTTTTTAATTTTCATAGGAGGTTAATATAGTGGTATATTACTCCATTACAAACTAATGATATTTTTTTATTCACATTCCATGTTTACTTATTTTTCTGACCACAACGTTTGACCTTGATTGCTTCTTGAAATAGTACGATAAATATAAGTCCGTATTATAAAAATTTTGTGGAAACTGATCGAAACGTTTCACGAAATAGACCGAGACTTGCCGTCATTGGTTGTTTTTTTATTGTTGAACAATGAAGTGTGTCTCAGTGTATTTCTTGTTCTATTTCGATCTATTCCGGAGTTTGCGGCCGAGATTCCCCGCAATATAAGAAAAGCATTGAGTTTACATATGAAAGACTTTCCAGAAATGCTTCACGTGTTAGTGTAGAGGGTGTTTAATGCTTTTTATACTTACATAAGTTCATCTATTAGATTATGCGGAATATTATTTCTAATAATTATATAACCATTTTCTTTATAAAATATCTTTTGTTCTTTGGTTACGGCTGGCGTTTTTCTAAAATAATTTGTATTCAGAATATAACTTAACAATAGGGTCAAGTGATGTAAAAATGAGACACTCCATATTTAGGTAAAAAATGGTACATTCAAACAAAACCACTAAAAACACATATTCAGTCAATTTTCTTGTTAGGAACATTTAACACTATAATTATTAATTAATTAATCCCCATAATTTTTAGTCTTTACGTGATGAATAATGGAAAGACTGAAATTACAAATCCATTGTTCCGTTTTGATATTTGAAACTTTTGAAACTGACTACCACACTTTTGTCGGGTGACATCAGTATGAAGTAGGAAGTAAGCGTTCGACTCCTGTCGTCGCGTACGTGGTCTAGAAAGACGTGCCCGTTTAAATTAAATCCTGTTAGGTATGAGAAGCTATATTTTTGGCGGGATAAATTTGAGACACACACAGGGGTTATAATGAGACAAAGGTAGGGGTAAATATGAGACAAGTTAATAGCATGTATATTTTTAAATTTTAGTCAAAATTCAAAAATTACAAAAAAACAATTTAAAGAAACCAAAAAAGTATACAAAAATCTTTTAAAAATGTAACGGAGATGTAACCTTAATAGAGGAGGACAAAGCTGTTCATATTGATCGAAACTACATACTGAGATAAATAATTTATTAAAGAAAGACATTGTTTTAAAATTACAACCATCAAAACTTGCGTGGCGGGACATGCGTGGCTATGACCGCAGAGATGTTTGCTCTTTCAATATATTTTGAGAAATATTTAGTTCGTTAATTGGTATATTTGTTATTTTTATTTTCTACATATTTTTTTTTCATTTTTAATTTAATATAATTGTTTTACACTTTCAGTTTATAAAACATGAAATTTTGCGACGCGACGCGCGACTGTGTAATTTTACTATATTTTGATTTAAATTATATGTTAGTGTGCTTTATTAATTTAGGTTTTTTTACTTGAGTTTTATTAATAAAAGAGTCATAGAAAAGATACATTTCTATGTCTAATTTCTCTCCGTCTAGTCTCATCTTTACTTCTGCATTTAATATAAACGATAGCAGGACCTTTAAACGTTTTGTGACAGTTTCATATTTTTATAGACTTTTTATGGGTTATGAGACACACTTTTATACATACTGACTTTTTAGCGGTACTTTTAGTATATTTTTACTGTTGCAATAATTTCTTTTCTAGCATGCCTTTTCTAGAAGAAATACTTTTGTATTTAAATGGTTTGTACTAAGAAAAAAACTAAAGAAAAAAGTTTTGAAAAATGTCTCATTTTGACACCACTTGATCCTAGACATCTTTTTATTATTTGTACGCTCTTTAATTGATTAATCAAGTATTGATTAATTTTTAATAATAAAGATATTGGGTTAAACCCACATTATCTTCAAATAATTATTCTATATTGTAGGACGTTTAAACACTTCTTATTGTTATTGTTGTTTCTTTTCTTTGATTAAATAAAGAAAAAAATTGATTAAACATCATTTAAACTTACCTTTTTAAAAACATAACTTTAAAAAGTAAACTTGAAAGTGTCACTTAATATTAACAGTTGCAACTAAGTAATACTATTTTGTTCTAAAACCTTAATTATAACAATTTCAGTGGTTGCCTTACGCGTTATAAACATTTAGTAACGTCATTGTTGTGAAACCTGATAAGTAGGTCTTTGCAGTGGTGTCAGATTCTTTGTTTTTGCATGAGATTACAAGAAATTCTTAAGGAAAAAATATTTCTACATAATATTCAGGCCCGGATTATGACCAACTTTGTCAATTTGAGCGTTGTTAAAAAATTATTGTTTATGTTAGTTGGAAAATATAATGTATTATGTAGCATAGTGCTCGGGACTTTGAATAAAAGGATTAAAGGAGTAATAATAATAATAATACTATCCATGTATCCATGCATGGTGGACGGAATCGACATCATAGGTCCCCACCCTTGACGGTTCTGTTCACTTCAAAAAAATTTTTTTTTATGGGTATTTCGCTACTGCACTGCAAGAAAATCTACAAAATAAAATAGTTATTTTTTGTAAACACTTCAGCGACAAGAAACCGTTGACGTTCTTTAGACGTATCTGCTTAAAAACTAAAGTGTTCTCATAATAGTTTGAATTTAAATATTTGAAATAGTTTTTTTCTTTATTCTTTGTATTTTTTTTGCTTCCGACGACGGAAAGAGATAGACTTTCCGAAACGTTGTTAGGCAAATTTGTATAACTGTAAACATAACTTCTGACAAGCAGTGTCCGTTTAGGTTTAACGCCAGAAGTATTTACAAAAAATAACTATTTTATTTTGTAGATTTTCTTGCAGTGCAGTGGCGAAATACCCATAAAGGATTTTTTTGGAGGGATGAATCCACCATATAGGTATAGACATTTTTTAGTTCTGTTTCAATTGAAACAAATGAATTTAATTTTAAATTTTATGGATTTTTTGTCTTTTTTGAGCTCATTTTATGATATTTATTATTTATTCTAGAATTAATTGATTGTTTAACGGTAGTAAATCTATAAGGAAGTTGTGTCAGGTCAGAACCTAAATTAACAGTGTCACTATTGCGGTTTATTGTTTTTTATTAAAGACTGTAAAATAGTTGGTTGTGCAGCGTGCGGTAGATCTCGGTCAAAAATTGAGGGAAATAATGGAATAACTTCCCTGATAGGTGACTATAATACCGTACGATCGAATAAAAACGGCGCTGCGTCAGCGATGGCCATGAAATGGAATCGAAACATCGATGACATTTCCCATATAAAGTTACATATAAAATGACAGCGATCTTCATTTCATAGCCATCGCTGACACCGTTTTTTTCGATCATACGGTATACATACGTGTAGTAAACCTCATCAGATCATTTATGAAATCTACTTAAAATTGACTAATTATATATTTTTTCTTGCATTTTCGCATTTATTTACTACTTGTCAAAAGTAATTAAGAATTAAGACACGTCAATTTGACTTATGTGCTTCAGTAGCGTATTTGATGTTTGTGTTATAATAAATAATTATTGTAACTTATGACTTTTTATTACAATATTATATATTTTAATATCTACTAACATTTATTGATAACGTAAAATAATACAAAAATTATTGACTCTACTCTACATCATATTTTTACACGTTTTGAATAAAATTAGAACGGCGCTGATAAACTAGAATTTAAGTCCCCATCGCTCGACCTCAGTTCCTTGATATGTTTCAATCTTTTTATTCAAAGGCTGGGGACTATATGCATTATCATATAGGTTATCATTTATTTTTTAAAATTTCCGGCTTTGGGGGTTAAATAGTTTGTACCAAAAAAATTTCTTGTACTTTGAACAGGTATTTTATGTTTTGTGTCTTTATGTCTTATGATTTTACAGTTTTAAAAAAATGCTCTTTTAATGATAGTGGTTTATAATCAGCTATATCAAAACATGTATATTTTCTTTAACTAGGCTTACTTAATTTTTTATCGTGTGAATTGGGTTATTCCACACATCTAATTATGGTATAAAATAAACAACCATTCATTCTAGTAATTCTTTATTATTATAAATGTCAAGCTCTAATCTGAATTTAATTACAAGCATTTTCTTTGCAAATTTATGCAAAATATTTCAACTTTACAAAATATACAAACTGTTCTCTTACAAATCTATTTAATACCCTCTTTTCGTTTCTATAAAGAAAATTGCGAACATTTATTGATGACAAGTCTTAGAATATGTCAGGCACGAGAAAGGCACTATTGTATTTTATTTTAGAATAGGCTAAGTACTGGTGTTAACATTAGTGAATGTTTCTAAAAGTTATACGGTTCAAGAACAATTTTCAATTTATTTAAAACAATTAATATTTAATTTCAATAGTAAATAATGTCGGTTTAAAAAGTGTCCTTGAACCTTACAATAAATATGGAATGATTCTCTAGTTCTACTAATAAAATTAACTTTTACAAAAATACAATGTCTTTTGCAATACTGATTATTAACTATTTACAAAATATGTACACATTAAATCTTCATTGCTTAATTGATTAATATAAAACTGATCATTACAAAAGTCTATTATAAAAATAAATTACACTGTCCACGTTCACACAGGGTTTAAAAGGACATTTAAAAAATACAATCTAATAATACAAATAATAATAAAAAAGTTATATAAAAAAGGAACAATGAAAATAATAAATACAAAATAAAAACAAAATTATGTACATCGTTAACCTGAATTACACTTCTATTAGATTTAAATAAAAATGTCTTTTTAAAAAATTTAACAAATATAAAAACAATTTAAAACATTAAATAATATCACACTATTTATTTTTAAATTACGTTTATTTCGGTCTGGTCGTTTTCAATCACGAGATCATTTACCTCACGCCAATATATAAAACATGTTTTCTTGGCTTTTAGTTAAAATAAATTACAAAAAGTCTGCGAGGGTCAGTTAATTTATTTTAGTTCTAATATACCACTAAAATAAAGGCATCTTTAAGTTTAGCGTTATGTTGTATCTCCTATATCCGTACAAAAAACTCTTATTATATTTCTTGTAACAAAATGTTAATACTTTTTGATAGTCTTTCAATAAGAGGTTCTTCTTAACAATTATTTACACAAGAAATCGGTGTAGTTTATATTTTATATACAGTTTATAATTACTTTTAGTTAAAGTAGTTTATAAATTTTCTTTAAAACAATATATGTCATAATCATACATATTATCATTGTATATAGATATTCTTATATATAAATTAACATCAATATGATGCATTATTTGCAGTGTATGATATAATATTTCTTCTTTCCTAGAACTAAAATTGCACAAAAAGAAATTATACTGCTTTTATAATGCTTCAGTTGATATGACTACACACATTCAGATATTTTAAAGACACTTATTCATTTTCACTCTGTATAAATATTATATTGTTATCATGAGCATAAGCTTTGCCACGCTTTGATAAACCCCATCGCTGAGTCGCGAGCCATCGTTTGTTATGAGTTTTTAAACACATTGAGACAATCTGGTGTTTTAGCATGATTTTACTATTACGAATGATCGAGGGATGTTTATATAATTTTATGATGCCTGATTTTTACTCTAATTTTATCTCAATTGTATTTAAAAAAATCATAATATAAAAATTCAAAATTCAGAGTAATGGCAAATCTGACGTGATTTTGTCATCAGGGTGCAACCTAGACCAATTGATTCGAAATCCAATAAAACCGGATTTCAAAGATATCTTTTGATTACTTGACTTGATTTAAAAAAAAATAAGATTACTATAAGTAAAATTTGTAATACATTCATTATTCAAATAGATCATTAATATTATCATGTGTCTAGAACAAGGCCCAATTGTATTGCAGTATGTGTATAGTCACCATAATTTTCTAAAACGAACATTTATCTAACTATAACGTAAAAACTGGCCCTCTTAAACAAGAACAGTAAGCACATCGACACTGCCACTGGTGTTCTGTTGTGTAGTCCTCTGCTTATTCACATTAATGATGCTCTTGGTGAAGTCCTTGTGTCCGGACGAATCGTCGAAGGCGGCCGTGTTTTTCCGCACGTCCGGATTCTGGGCTTTGTACAGCATGATTTGGCTGCTGCGGTGAGCGGGGCTCAGGCCATCCAACGTCATGCTATCGCTGAGCTTGAGCGTCGTCTCCGATGCGCTGGTGCCGGGTAATACGAGCATTGTCTTCCTCGATCCGGGGCACTCCACTTCCGAGATCATTTCTAGCATCTCGCTAGAGCTTTCACTGGGCAGCAGGGATAAAGGTCGGACTACGCTTACCCTAGGCATATCAAAGCCGCATCCTGTGGCTGAATTTATGCTCGCCATGCTTCCACTTCCTGCCATTTCTTTTCTAGAATGTAAAAAAGTAATATTTATTAAGACAAAATTTAGTTAGAAGAACTGAGGGTTAAAATATATTTGTTGGCTGTTGCCACACAACTATTTTACGTATTCTATGAGCCAATGTAATGCTATTTTCTTTTATATCCCATTTAATTTAATTAGAATAATCCATATTCCGAAACACAGGAAGATATTCAAAGTATATAAGAGTTGAGATTAATCAACGATGGCAAAAATGTTTAATATTAGAATATATAAGAAATTACCTTCTTAGATTTTCCTCGTTCTGCAAATTGTTTGACTTTTCATCTTCGTGATTTCTATGGCAAGTGTCAGACGAGGGAGATAGGTTCATCCCGCTGATTCCCAAGTTTCTTCTTCTCTGTCTAAAATACAGTAACCCAATAAAAGCCGCCGTTGTTAGTCCAATGATAACAAAGCAAACGAGTGCAATCAGAACTTTGTTACTCTGTTGTTCACCAGATATTAACGCTGTTTCTACTTTAACTTCCACTATTGATGTCAATGCTAAGAGGCTAGTTTGTTTCCGCGAGATCGCCTCACCTACTACACGAATTCCATCGAGGACCCAGTGGCTTCCAAACTGTAAAAGAATTTGAGTTAGAGACGTGTCAAAACCACGGATTTTAAATGTATTTATGGTACTTACCAAAGTGACTTCAATGGTATCATTATAATCCATTTTCAAGTCACAAAGTAATACTAGCTCGTGCTGTAAACCTTCAATAGCCTGCTGATTTGCCAGTAAACGTCTTAAGTCACCACATAATCCTTCCACTGTAATTCCTTGAGGCAACTTGACTCTGTCGAGAAGTAATGTAAGTCTAGCACAATTATTACTCAGTACTGCTTGGTTCGGCCAACACGTGCTAGGGCTTGGTAAAAGCGGAGGCTTCACTCTACGACCTGTAAACATAAGTTTATTAGTTATTTGGCGTTTACATATATCCTGTAACAGTTTTTACCACTTTCTAAGTCTCTGCATTCTCCATATGGTAGGCAAGGAGGTGCAAGGCAAGTTTCTGTTGAGGTTGGGACACAGACTTGATTCAGATTACACATGGTACTTTGCTGATTGGACGTGCGGCAGTTTCCTAGTCCGCACCATATTTTGGTGCATTTAACTACACCGCTGTTACATATGCACGTATTACATTCATGTTGCCACGTGACGTTATTTTCTAGACTGTGGCTGTTCCATAAGCAACTGCCTGGAGAAGGTAGGTATGCAATATCATCTACTGAAATAAAAGGAAGTGTTGTGAGGATAAAATCATTTTTAATAAAGTACTAATATACTCACTATTGCAATTCTTTCCTCTCCTCGCTGGCGGACAAATACATTTATAATCCCCGATGCCATCAATACAGGTTGAACCATATCCACAAGGGTTTGATGCACAGTCATTTACATTAATTCTGCAGTCGGGACCTGTGAATCCATTAGCGCATTCACACAAGAACCAGTTAACTCCATCAATGCACTTTCCTCCATTGTAACAAGGTTGAGGACTACAATCGTTGACGTCATCTTGACAGTGGTTGCCCTCGAAACCGTCTCGACAGATACATTGATAGTAATCGCCAGTGTTTACACATGTTCCTGCAAATTAACAGTAAATTAAACAAGTGCATACTTATATTATATAGTAGTACAAAATATATATATATATATATATATATATATATATATATATATATATATATATATATATATATATATATATATATATATATATATATATATATATATATATATATATATATATATATATATATATATATATATATATATATACTTGTATTATATAGGAGTACAAACCTCCGTTTAAACATGGGTTTGAAGTACAAGCAGTTTGTTTAGCTATGTGACAGGTGGTACCTTCCCAGTCGGGAGGGCACCTGCACATGAAGGTGTTGCCTAAATCTTGACAAGTCCCGCCGTTTTTACAGGTCGTGTGATCGCAGTGGCTATCTTTGAGACTACACGTTTTTCCTTTCCAACCGTTTTTACATTCGCATTCGAAATCGGCGACGCCATCTATGCAGGTGCCGTTGTTACGACATGGACTTGGCGTACAGTCATCAGTATCTGTAATAAATTAATTGTGTGCTATTACCTCAAAACGACATAAATCATAAAAACAAAAAGAAAATAATTGAACTAATGGTTACATTTGTCTTTAACCTGAACTTTATTTAACATATAAAAATATTTGGACTATACACAATTCAAAAAAGTCATTGAATTGTCTTTATATTATATGTAAATTGACTTAAAATGAAAATTCCAGGTCCTCAGTATCAACACCATATTCTCTTTATTACAAAATTGTGAAATTGTATTTTTTCATAATCTTGTTGGATATGATTATCACGTTTTAATTGAAATATAAATATTAAATAATTTTCAAGTTTGGTCCTATACACCACATTTTTGAAATCATGTATAGTCTTTATTCTATTGCCTCCTGATTCGACATACTAAAAATCCATATCTGAATTTAATGGTACTACTTACTTATACTACATAAAGCACCCTCCCAACCTTCATTGCATATACACTGAAAAGCATTCACTTTATCCACGCATGTACCACCATTTTCACAAGGGTTGACTTTGCAATCGTTGATATCTATAAAAAAATGTCTTTTAATAAATATAATTTTACTAATAAGTTATTTTAATGAAACTTTGAGGCACAAAATCTGTACATACTTTCATGACAGTATTTTCCAGTGTAGCCTGGCTGACATTGGCATTTGTATCCTATTCCTGGTTGGTTGATGCAGTGACCGTGTTCACCACATAGGCTTGGAGCTGAACTTCTGCTTCCACCGACAGATACCACTACACAACTATCTATTCCTGAAACAAAAACATATATAATTAAAATATTGCTTGCAACATCTTGTAGAATATTTGTTAATTCTAATAATACACCAGTTTTAATCAACAGCAGATGAATAGTCAATATTTTTATTAAAATAAATAGATTTATCGGTGAAGATAATTTGCATTATTTCAGACAATGATTACGTTTATATTTTAAGAGTCTTACGCTGTACTTTCGGGCTACTCTCAGGGGTGGGGTAAAGCGGGTGTGTGGTCGAAGGAAATATAAATTATATTTGAAAAATCTGCCTAAGCAGACACACGTGATTTGATTAAGGTTTGCAGAGCTTCAGCATTTGCCATAAAATAGCGAGCAATTTGTGACAAAACCATATAAATTATATATCAGTGTAATCACAAAACTTCAATCTATTTCCGTATTGTAACGGAATTTTAAATTATGTCATTAATTTCGAGAAAATTTAGTCCAAACATAAGGAATATTTTGTTGATGTTTGACCATCAAAATCTTAAAAATAAAAAAGTTGTCTAAAAATGTGCTACAATACGGATATAGTATAATCCTTTAGCTTTAATTTCCTTCTTCATGTGTGTAAAAATACCTAGCCAGCTTTACATAAAACGTTAAATGCCGAACGCTTATTTTGCTACTTTTTCGGACTAGTGAAATGGACTCATAAGCATTAGTTCTTTTTTACATATTTCTGAAAAAGAGACAAGTACAAGCTCTGTATTTAATGGTTTATTTCCTGTGGATTCAGAGTTTATATCTCGTCTTTAAATTTTATTGCATTTATTCACTAATAATGAACTATTTGCTTTATCCAAGAGATATATATGAATTAGAAAGAACAAACACATTTACTTACAATTCTTTCACGTTGACAGAGCACTATAAACTAGACAAAAGATAAAAAACCTGGTAACTCTACTTCGGTATTTCGACTGATGTATTGTAATGGTTTGTTATTAGGTAAATAGGCATTTCCTAGTCGGAGATAATGCCTAAAATATTCGCGGCCATTGAAATTAGTCCTTATATAGGTGAATAGTTGCGCTTGCGTGCCAGTGAGGAGTAATTGCCTGTCTTTGCGGATAATTTCAGCGATTCGAAAAAAATACGGTCCGATAAATTTAGCGGAAGATGGGTGCGCGCAACCGTGCGTTTTTGTTTCTAATGCGCGGCCGACAACCGTTATTTAAGAAGTTACGGTTAAGGTAAATCACCAGTTTATTACTAAGTGCTTGATGAACGGCTCATGAACTAGGATCGGAATTGAATTATTGCTTTATAGTTATGGGGTATCGATATATCGTTGCGCTGGTGGAAATTCAGGAACAGAACAATTTTAGGCTCGAATAGATGTCTTATTTATAAGTTTTTTTTATTTTTAGATAAAAAAACGAGATTAGTATATGACCATAAATTAGAATTGATTGACGTATCCAATTGTCTTTGGTCACTTCCGGGTTTACCAGAAAAGACTACAACTTTTTATTTTTTATTTCCACAACAATTAATTTTTAAATGGCACCCCCGGTCTTCTTTTGTTTATTCGAAAATGACACTCTGAATAGAATGACACATCCAGGGCCGCGTTAAGGTGATTTGGTACCCTAGGCACCATTTATTTTGCCGCCCCCTTCAACTAATAAAAATTCAAGTTTAAGTTTATTATTTCAAAAATGCCGCCCCTTATCAGCCTGCCGCCCTAGGCAATTGCTTATCTTGTCTAATGGATAAACCGGCACTGGACATATCATACGTCAACTTTTGACATTTTCCCATATGGTTTAAAAAATAATTCAATTGTAACATGCCGTTCATAACGATAATTTGACTCGAAATACCAAATGTGTGGTACCAAATTATTCGTAAAAAATGCTTTTTCCAAATATGCTAATGAACCACTCTTGTTCCATTTGAAAAAATTGAGATATGATTAAAAATACGAGCTTTTTTGGGCATCTTTTAAGGTTGATTCTCAATATACCTTCGATATCAGCTCCCTTCCGTTTTCCTTCCGTTTACATAAAATTTTATATCATGTGAATGAATAGGATAATGCACACTATACGTTCCGTTTCCATTCCGTTCCATATCCTTTCCTTCCATACATTTTTTTTGGCGGACGGACTGAACCTTATCGGAAACAGCGTTGTCAAGTTCTTACATTTGTACCAGCTCTGTTAAAATTTTACTGATATTTATTCATTCTTTCACCTCTTAATTGAATGTAATAGATTCAAAAGACACAAATTTTCTAAATAAAATTTTCTTAATGATATAAATTGTACAATAAAAAGTATGGAACTGATACGGAACAGAAGCTTACGTATAGCGTCAATATAATAAAAAATACGGAATGGATATGGAATGGAAACGGAAGGTATAGTGAGAATCAAACTTAATCGGCCAGGGCAAGATACGAAAAACATTGGACGATCAAATCCATTTTTCCAAGGCTCCTTGATTAAAAATTAGTGTTTTTAAGGGTTAAGTAAAGGCACTAGACTATAGACTGACAAAACTATTTTTTATAAAATCGTGTAGTGTGAAAAGAACGATCTATCGATTTGGTCCTAAGATCTGAGCTTTGCGATTTGGCATGCAAATCGTTGTGTGTAGGTCACCGTTAAAGTTCGAATCACCTTGTACTTTTACAGAAAAATAAACCCGCATTAGTCAATTTTTTCGCTTTCATCTCGCGCCGTTTTCATGTCCCTCGCTCGAAGATGCCGTCAATTAAGCTGGTGGCAGCAGCCAAACGCGCACAAAAAAAAGAACACGAGATCCGCGCGCCGCCCCGGGTTCATTTCCGAAGCAACGGGGGATCCTGAACCCCCGCGGCGCTGGATTCTCTTCCCCGCACCCGCCCCCAACACACTTTCGGTCTTGAAATTGCCCTGTCAACTGAGGAATCCCCGACGAAAGATTCATAAGCCGTGTACGTACATTCGCGCCGATTTTTTTTCAAAATCACGTTTTCGCTTATCACGTGGCTAAACGTCGATTTCATACTCATCTAATTGAGATTTTATATTATTTAGAGAACGCAATATGGTTATACAGGGTGTTTAAAAAAACATGTGCCATTTCTCGTGGGGAGATTCATCACGTAAAAATAGGATTTATTTTTTTATATCAACATAGGTCCGATTCTGCTTTGTTTCGTAGCTACAGGGTGTTAAAGTCTCAATATTTTTTCGATTTATTTTAATTTTCTTCCAAGTACTTTTAACGCCTCGAATGAAATTTTGAGGGTAAAAGTTACTATAAATGCGACATATTTTAATGCTAAAAAAGTGTCGACATATTCACCAGGGACATGCATATGGGTTATCACTGAAATATTTTTCTAAAAAAAGCATGTACGCCACTGACTTTTTTTTCTCTTGTTGGCGAAATAGTGTAAACAGTTTAATGCCGATTAAAAATTGTCTCTTGATATTTTGTCGATTTCGGCCTCCTTGATGAGATAAACGCAATTTTATTAATTTGCCTTGCTCTAAGTGTAATAGCGAAAGTTTTAAATAAGTACTCATGATTTCCCATCAAAAAATATGAGGTTCTTATAAACATGGGTATGGAAATGCATAGTTTTAGAGATACAGGATGTTCAAACTTTTTAAAATTAAGTTTTTTGTAATTATCTGTAGGTTGGACTAATCATAACTAATAGTAATAATATTTAATAATAAATTACTTAAAATATATAATTTATTAATTTTATTTTTATTTTAATTTTATTAATTGTGAATAATAAAATTGCGTTTATCTCATCAAGGAGGCCGAATTCGATAAAATATCAAGAGATAACTTTTAATTGGCATTAAACGGCCTACACAATTTTGATATCAATAAAAGAAAAGTCAGTGGCGCACATGTTCTATTTTTGAAAAATATTCCAGTGGTAACCAGGGTAATATGCATGTCCCTGATGAATTTATCGACAATTTTTTAACATTAAAATATGTAGCAATTATAGTAACTTTTACCCTCAAAATTTCATTCGAATCACTAAAAGTACTTGGAAGAAAAATATAATAAATCGAAAAATTATTAAGACTTTAACACCCTGTAGCTACGAAACAAAGCAAAATCGGACCTATGTTGATATGAAAAATAATATACACCAGTATACCAGTCACAAGTGCAAATTATCAGGAAATAAATGAATAAATGTGACAGGTTGATATTTTTTACAGCAGAGCTACCACCTGAATCCCCAGCGAGACATTTAAATTTAGTCAGTCAAGTCGAAAATGTTTGTTAAATCGCGCCCTCGATTACGTAACTAAAAGTTTAATTGGTATCGAATATACATATGTTATGTCCTCATTGTCTACCACTTTCAAGCTAACGTTATGTATAAAAATCAAACAGATCGCTTCTCTAATTACCGCGATAGAACACCTAATTCGATTCCATCTCGTTTGAAGCTATCGATCCATCAGATACGATCCGAAGATAAAGAAAAATCCGCGTCATAACAACGAAAATGAACCGTACGCTCTCCTGTAAATTGTTGTAATGGTGCAAGTCACCCGTGTTGGACGGACCACAATAGCGTAGATCGGCCGATAGCATTGTGGCGGTGGCCTTATCTCCAACCCGATTTAGAGGTTAATTCTACTTTTATAAAACTTTAACAGGTAGGTTAATTGAGCGGGTAGGCAGTTTGTTGTTCTAAACTGTGTGCGCTTCATAAAAGAGAAATGGATAAAGATGATCGTTATTGATATACCTATGTAGTTAAACGTCGATTGAGTTATTACTGTTTCATTTTGATTCGTTTTTTTACGATGACCTCGACTGGATATCACAGCCCTTCACCGCACTTCACCTATCGCGCCTATTCTCGTACACATGTCAGCCAGAGCAGTCTCGATATTTTTTTTATAAACGGAGCTTCAATAAAGCCCAAAATCCGACTTGTTTTATAACAAAGGCGAATGTCTAGGTACGTAGAGAATTCCATGTTACGAATGAAAGATCGCAGCTCTTTCAACATTTCTTCGATGACATCTTTATCGTAGCCGCCATTGCACGTTGTGATTTGGACTGAATCAATAGACTGTGCAGTTCAAATATGGTTCAAATCTCTCAGAAACCTTCACATGTTGAAAGTGTGATAAAAGATCGCGGATCTCTCTCTCTGCAATGTTTCACATCCAAAACATGTCAAAAATCCACAGCCAAAAAAAATCGTTTCCTTTAGCTACACAAATTTTCCTATCAAATAAGATTTATTTACAACCATATAAGTAATGTTGACATTTCCGACTTATTGAAGGTTGGAAAATGTCAGTTTTCTAACTTTTACTTCCCACCCACGGGTGGAAAGTTTACTTCCCTCCCGTGGGCGGGAAGTAAATACAGATTTTTAAATTAGGTTTTAATTATGGTTTTGATCATGCTGTACATTGACCAAAGTGTAGAAGGTTTTTTATTCTGGCTCATATCACCAAAAAATGCTAGCAAGACAGTCTCAGAGCCTATTTTTTTAACTTTTTTTTCAGTGCACCACTTTTGATATGCTTTGTAACAGTTCTCGTAGCGGTTACGGCTTTTTTCCGGAATCAAACATTCTTCAGCTTTTTCGGCATGTTTTTTAACTTCCGGTGGTGTACAATTCATATCTTCGTCACTATCGCTCGACATTTTTCTTAATATTCTCAGTGATTTCCACTCTTAAAAAATGTAATTTTCTAATTTGACAACTCGTGACATTTTGACTTATTTATGTATCCTCCTGCTATCGGCATAACAACCATTAAATGTTTCAAAAACCTACTATGCATTTTTTTCTTAAAACTTTTGTAAATGAAAAAAAATATTTTGCAGAATATTGATGGTTGGAAATAAAATAGTATACAAACCTCGGTGTAAAGTTTCATTTCTGTCTCGAGATTTCAATCAAATTTCTCGACAGTACCTAATGAAACACTTTCCACCTTGGTGTGTAATATACTATTACAGTATGCTTGGGTAAAGAGGAGAGTAGGAGAGTACAGATATAAGTAAAAAAGTCTCACAATATTACAGCCCATTCAGTACCAGCCGGTTAAGTTATAGTCTTTGCCATTGAGATTTACGATTGTACCAAGATATTCGGTTATCATACGTTTTGTAAGAAGTCGGATTCTGAGCGAATAAACGAAGGTTCACTAAAGCCAAAGGTGGACAAAAAAACAAGGTGACACTAAAGCCAAGGTGACAAAAGCTTCGTTTATAAAAACAACTGGAGAATGGTGTTCTGTTTATTAGTATGTGTAGGAAAATAAGCGCAGTATATGAAGTTGACTGGCTGGTGCTCAATATAATTTGTTGGAGTATAATAATTATTAGGTATGTATTTACTACATAAAAACATAAACTCACCATTTTCACAAGGTGGATTCTCACAAACAAGTTTGGCCTGACTGCAGTTTTTTCCTTGCCACCCTTCCGGACAATGGCAATAATAGTCGTTTTGCGCTTTGAAACATGGTGCTCCGTTTTGGCAGGGATCAGGATTGCAGTGATCGTAGTCATTCTGAAAAAAGTCATTAATTATGTAAATACTCTAAAAATACGTTTAATGCAATAGGTACTATAGATTCCTTTGAGGTCCTCAGGACACTGTATTTCCATTCCAGTGTTCTGCGGATGTAATAAATAAATTCATAAAGCTTGACCATTAACAAAGTGTATTATTTTTAGTCCAAACCCTTCCGACTGCAACCCCACTAGTTCCTAGATTTTCTTTCTTTCTTTTTATATATGAATTTTATTTTATTGTTATGCCTAAGCTATTTTTTATGAGTTATAATTAAAAAATAATAAATACTATATCGGGTGTGTCTCAAAAGTGGCTCACCCCTATAACTTTTTTATTTTTTTCTGATAAAAAAACGAGATTGGGTTTGTTAGTATATGATATAAATTAGGATTGATTGACGTATTCAATTGTTTTTGGTCACTTCCTGTTTCACCAGAAATACTACAACTTTTGATTTTTAAATGACACCATTATTTATTCGATGGAAAATTACATTCTGAATAGAATGAGATGTAATATGTCAACTTTTGACATTCTCGCTTAATAAAAAATCGTATTTTAACATTCAATCTGGAGGCACTCTGGTTCTATGTTAAAAACACTAATTCTTAATCAAGGAGCCTTGGAAAAATAGATTTGATCGTCTAATGTTTTTAGTGTCTTGTCCTGGCCAGTTAGAAAATGCTTAAATCGTATTTTTAATCATATCTCAGTTTTTTCAAATGAGGGTGGCTCATTAGCATATTTGGAAAAAGCATTTTTTTACGAATAATTTGATACCACACACTTGGTATTTCGAGTCAAATTTTCGTTACGAACCGCAAGTTATAATTTCAAATAAACCATATGCGAACGTGTCAAAAGTTGACATATGATATGTCATTCACTCAGAGTATCATTTTCTATCGAATAAAGTAAAAATATACCTGTAATATAGGTACCATTTAAAAATCCGCCGCCGAGGGTGCCATTAAACAATCAAAAGTTGTAGTCATTTCCGGTGAAACAGGAAGTAATCGAAAACAATTGAATATGTCAATCAATCCCAATTTATGTCATATACTAACATACCAAATCTCGTTTTTTTAACTGAAAAAATAAAAAAGTTACAGGGCTGAGCCACTTTTGAGACGCACCCGGTATTATACAGGGTGGTCCGAATTGTATTCCGGAAACTTCGGCAGCATATTCTTTATATAAAAATAAGTTAAAAAGTTCGTATAAATGTATGTCCTAAAATGCGTAGTTTCGGAGATAGAGGGTGTAGAAGTTTCATTTTTATTTCGAATTTTTCCAAATAATTTCTGATGTAACGTCAATATTTGGATGAAAATTGGTATCTGGGAGCTCTTTGCTATGAGAAATTTGGTTTTGATGTCAATATGACTCCTATTTGTAGGGGGTGCCACCTACATGTGTCTTAACTGTTTTGAAGAACTTTTCGTCCGTACCTGTATAAAACTACTGAGTAAAAAAATATACATTTACGTAGTTTTTTATGTAAAAAAAGTCTCTTGGTAAAAATCGCTACGAGTAATAGTTCTCGTGATATTTGGAATCGAAATTATCAATTCCTGTGATCATTGACATAAATTAAACATGCTGACTAAATAGTTATTAGACTGAAATCATAAATTTGAAAAGTTTTTGTGCCAGAAGTTCAACAGAAACTGTTTTATCATTATTTTTTGCAGAAAAATTTATGATTAATTTAAAAACATAAAAAATCCTAAATTTATTATTTCAGTGAAATAACTACCTGCTCAACGTGTTTATTTTTCGTCAATAATGATGTGTTTTGTTTATTTCCATTCTAAATATCTTAAAAACGGTTGCTCGTAGCGATTTTTACCAAGAGATATTTTTTGCGTAAAAAGTCACAGAGATGTATATTTTTTCGCTCGGTAGTTTTATACAGGTACGGACAAAAAGTTATTACGCTTCAAAACAGTTAAAACACATGTAGGTGGCGCCCTCTACTAGTTAGGAGTCATATTGACACCAAAATAAAATTTCTCATGTCAAAAAACTCCCAGACACCAATTTTCATCCAAATATTGACTTTACTTCAGAAATTATTTGGAAAAAATCGAAATAAAATGAAACTTCTACATCCTGTATCTCCGAAACTAAGCATTTTAGGACATACATTTATACGAACTTTTCTACTTATTTTTATCTGCGGAATATGCTGCTGAAGTTTCCGGAATACAATTCGGACCACCCTGTATACTAAAGGTGATAAGTGAGCTATTATTGATTGAGCTTTATACATGGAACTAACAATGAAAAATTGCCGTATTTGATCTGATTAGTAATTTAAATATACTAACCGCAATATACTTATTCCGAGAAATTGAAAAAACTAAGTGGCCAGTCAAAAGACAAGAAAACAATTTTCTTCCTAAGTTATTACCAAATGTCATATTACAAAAGTGGCCTCTTTTTGAGGGTTTCAAGTAAAAAATGTGAATAATATTGGAAAATGTGTGAAAATCTTGTATCGGTCCTGAGCTCTAATAGGTGATGGCTAGGTCAAGCAGTCAATTTGTTCAAAGAAGCTTTATATGAAGGTACACACATGTAAGTAAATAAATGGCACTTTTTTTTTAAATTATTATTTACCTAGGTAGAGAATTATTATTATTTTTCTGTTGACCGATGAGATGTGGAGTACATCAAAAACGCTATATTAAAGTCACTGAAGAAAGGACGAGTTAAAATTCTCTCACTTGATATAGATACTAATAGTTATTTAGTAATGGTACTCCATAAGAACCTAACTGTAGTTTAGAGAGTTTACTAACGTATTTGATTAAGAAACTTTTATAACAATTAGATAAATTCATGTTTCTTGTCTTTGTAGTTATGTACTAATGTGAAGAACATAATGTTGTAAAGACATGTAAACGACTTGATAAGATAACATATTATAGAGGAATTCCTTTTTTTTTTAAAGCTTTTTGTTATTAAGTATCCTAGATATCTCATATCGTGTTTGTCACTGAGCTCTTGTGTGGCATTTAATGAGTTAATTTTTTGAATAATAATAAACATATATCTTGTAGCATTAGATAAATTTCTTTTTTTTCACCTGGCTCACCTCTAAAAGCATATTAATCAGCTTGCGTAATGCATTTTTGTCTTGTATCGGTGTAGAAACACCTATAGAAACGACTATGTGAAAAATTTCTCGTTTTGTGCTAATCCAGCCCACATTAAAAGGAAAAAACACACACGGCCTGTGATATAAAGCGTAACGAAGGAAAAAAATACCGTAAACGACATTAAAATAAATGAGTCCCCGTTTAAACATCAAATAAGAAGTTGTTAAATTACATTTAGTCGAGGAATTATGCCGAACGTTCTTAGCTTTTATGCTGGGTGAGTTACATGGTGTGTAACAGTCTTTATATTATAATTTTTATTAATCAAATACAAATGTTTTAAATATAAGTGGCATTTTTTTGCCCACCTTGTAGAATGATTGGTTTGATAGCCAAAAGCAGCTAAATTAATTATTTTGTATTTTAATGAACCCGACTGGAGATATTAGAATGTTAAGTGATCGAATTTTAGAAAAAAAAACGCCTGAAGCTATCAACAAAACAAATCTAGTAAGAAACGACTAAAAACGCGTGAAATTTTTAAAAGGTAGAAAATTTACGTTTGTTTAAATATAATGGAAGTTATAAAAAGGTTGTTTCCTAAAATGTTTTAATTAAAAGAAACTACGCAAAAGTGGGCAACGCTGTGCCGGTCAAGCTTAATCACGTGACAACAGTTTAATTGGTATGAACAATAACATTTATTCACTCAACGTAAAACAAAACTAAATAGCAATTTATTGCCTGTTCTACTTTATATTTTAACATATGTAAAAAATAGAACTCCACTAATAAACCCGCCTATATTGAAGTAGGTACGTTTGCAGTCGCCCTGATTTTTTTATACGTTCCTTCCTTAATCTTTTTATTCAGTGTCACATACAAAATGACTAACCCGCTAAAAAACTTTAAAAACCAACCTAACTGTTCTTTAATTAGAGATATTATGTGTAAAATAAAACGTTTTACCAGTAATGCTCATCTGAAAGTACCACTGGTAGCTCTGCGTCCGATTACTACCCGTTTAAATGTCCCCAGAGGCGTTCCAAGATGCTTGGCGTGTATATTTTAACCGGCTCTAATTGTTTAGCCCGAAGACTCTACTCGTAAACGCGAACAATTATGTTTAAAATCGTTCAAACAACGGTGTAATAAAGGGAAATAAAGACATCTCATTTGCATAGGTAATGATTTGCAGTTGGTTTTTCATTACTAATATTTAATACTCCTCAATTGTAAGTGTATTAACAGATTATGTGTACACTGAAAAATCAAATCAATCGATTTATGGATTTATTAATAAAAACGTTGATACAGAAATACACTCACCGGCACGAAAAACGGGCACCTTAACAATTTTCATGTGTTTTAAAGTTTTATAATATTGTGTTTTAGTAGACCGATTTTGATGATTTTTAAGTAATTTGTAGCCACATTATTTAACTTTTTAGTGTCTCTTTCTAAATTAAAAATGAAAGTTGCTATCTGTCAATTACACGAGGGAAAACAAAATGTTGATATTTTGGTGAAAGTTTGGAACACCCTGTGTTGTACGTCAATAAAGCAAGATATTTAAAAATCATTTTATCGTCTAGATGTATCTTTTCTCGATAGTTTGTTTTTTGGTTTATCTTAATAGCTATATTTTTTTTGGAGATATTCGGTTTTGCAGAAGACACTAACATTTTTTCGTATTTTTTACATTAAACCCATACCTTTGTTTTAGTCCTAGTCAACAGACCTATAAAGTAGTATTTATGATTTATGTAATGTCACTGTCTTTTAAAAATCATATTATTATTGTCTGTTCATCTGTATTATTGTGGCAGTTACTCTAGCAGATATGGTTTTAAGTCCAAAAGTTGATCTCTACCATGATCAATTCATCAATCATAAAAATACTTCAGAACTTAAAACCCTCGCTACTAGAATAAACGTCAGTAAATAATAATAATATGACTTTTCAATGACAGTGACATTACAAAAACAATAAACACTATTAAGTGTGTTGATGAGGACCCAAAATCAATGCTTAAATTACTGTAAATCGTTACCGTCTTATTCAAAAGCGAATATGTCCATCAAAAATAAAGCTATTGAGATGAATCAAAAACAAACTAACGAGAAAAAACGTACCTAGATGATAACATAATTTTTAAATTCCTTTCTTTGTTAACATGCTCCACAGGTGTTTCAAACTTTCACCAAAATATCAACATTTTGTTTTCCCTCGTATAATTGACAGATGGAAACTTTCATTTTTAATTTAGAAAGAGATGCTAAAAAGTCAAATAATTTAGCTACAAATGGCGTAAAAAACATCAAAATCGGTAACCATTTTTTTTTTCGGAGAGACACGAAGAGCAATATCCGGTATAACAATGCGCCCTGAGTTACCATTAGAACAACAACCTCTATAGTCACGATCTTTAAACCACAAGCCTTGTATGCGTGCGGTCCAACATTTCCGGATTTTCCACTCATGTTGGAATTAGTAGCCTAAACTCACGTTTGTATACATGACCCCTCTAAAACAAAAGACCAATAAGAGAGCTTAAACTTTAAACCGATTTACCTACCATGGGGTTATGAAACGCTACTATAGTCTGTGAAACGAATAACTTTGAATTTTACAGTTCCCGCGGGCTTTTCTAATGTTAATTTTATTAGGTTAGCAATTTGCGACCATGCTGACGCAATGCCGTCTCTAATAGAACAGCCTCAGAGCGAGATTTATGACGTCATCCTAGTTAGATACTACGGATTAATAAATATGTTGTAGAATACATGGAAAACATAATTATTCCTCATATTTTTGGTTTGTATTTTAAAAATGATATAGTTTACATGAAATACACATACTTTATAACAGTTAATAAATATAATATATATACCTATTTATAGTAATAAATACTTTGGCAAATGAACTATGAACCATACAAATGCAGCAAATGTTTTACAATATGGCTGAAATCGTACTCCATGGTCAATGTAGATAGTTTTAGTGTTAAGAATAATAATTTTAAAAATATGTGGTCATCTTTTGACAAGTTTATATTAGTTTATTAATTGCAGTAAACATTATGTGGTGTGTGGTGTGATATTTTATATGTAATTTTTAGATTATATTCGACACTATTTTTTTCATATTACACAACACTGATGAAGGCTATAATGTTAGCCGTAATGTTTTTATTTAAACCAAATAAGAATAATGAAAACCAAATGAAAACTTAATCAGCGTTTTTCCCGAACCTAAATCCCAAGAAAATCAAAAGTTTTAGAATAATTTTACATATAAAATGACAGTGATCTTTATTTCATAGCCATCGCTGACGCTTTTTTTATATGATATTGTATTATTTGCAAATATAATTTTTCCAACATTGATACTTCCAAAATATACATATAAATTTTATGAATGCAAATAATAATACATCACTATTAGTAGATATTGAATGTTTTTTGTTAAATTAGATCGATTTTCAAACCCCAAAATTTTACCCATTATCTTATGTACCTATTCATTATTTGTATATTGTAAAACATTTGCTGCATTTGTATGGTTCATAGTTTATTTGCAAAACTATTTATTACTATAAATAGGTATATATTATATTGTATTTATTAATTGTATATTATGTATATTTCGTGTAAACTATATCATTTTTAAAATACAAACCAAAAAAAGGAGGAATAATTATGTTTTCCATGTATTCTACAACATATTTATTCATCCGTAGTATCTAAAAAGCGTGACGTCATAAATCTCGCTCCCGGGCTGTTCTATTAGAGACGGCATTGGTCTGATATTTAGAAATGTCAAAAGCTGATGACATTTTACTTTTCGCAAATATGACATTTCGCGTTGATTTTTGCAAGAAGAGGAAGGACTGTCACTTGTTTTATTATTTTCCTTTTCTATTTCACGAAAGTGAAAAGAGTTACCTATCTGATTCGTTCAGGTACTCAATTTAAAGAATATCAGTAACTTTTTTGATAGAGGGATTTTCTATTTGCCATGTTGGTAAAAAATAACGGTCAAAATTCAAAGTTATTCATTTTATAGACTATATAACGTTGATATCTGTAAAGCGTAGGCATTTTATTTTATCCCACTACATTTTGATTAACGACATATTTTTGCTGTATTAAAATATTAAAGAATCGCAAAACCTATTTAGATCAATGGGAACAATGGATCTATAACAACGGGAAAATATTACGTTAAACAAGAAGAAGCTTACTGAATAACTATTTATATTCAGACAAAAATTTAAACTTCTATTTCTCTTACCTCACATTCATGACCTGTGATGCCTACGGGGCATATGCATTTGTAACCATTAACCTGATCTACGCATTCTCCACCATTCTTGCACGGATTCGATGAGCATTCGTCTATGTCCGTGTGGCAGTCTCGTCCTGTAAAACAACATTAAATTAAATTCAACTTCTAGTTTAATAACGTCTAGTCAAATTAACAGCGGATGCTGAGCATGACGTAAAAGTCAGATGTTCGACGTTATCGCTCTTAGGTGCAGCACTATATTAACTGTGAGTGGTTTGAGGAACCGAAATATATCTGATGCGGTTTATATTAATTTGACTTTTTACTACCCTGTTTCAACTTGAATTATTATTGCTTCAGAATGTTTACTGGATCAAAGTTGAACAATTATTGTAGTATATTATATACTAATACATATAACTACTGTAGGTCCAAACCAACGAATGAAAAATTTGCATAAATAAAAAAAAATAAAATATTGAACCTGGACGCACACAAAAAAGCAAAATAGTTTTAGTAAAAAACGCTTTGAACGTTGAGTACCACGGAGTTACCCCTTAGAAGACATAACTTGCAGCTTGTTAGTATGGGCGTGACATGCCATAGGTGCACTAGCTTGAGGCTCATTCATTTTTGTTTCTACTTGCCTTTGGTTGTCTTCTTTATTTTTTTATTTTATCGATTTCTTTTGATCAACTAGCACAGATTGAAGCACCAAATGTGAGCCACCACTGAGAGTTTTCAGTTTTCTCCCATTAAAAATCGGATGTTTTAAATCAGTTAATTTGGATAATTTTCATTGGTGTTGATGAGAGATTGGCTGGGCCAATAAGATATCCAACCAAGTGTTCAACTCTTAGTTTGCAAAGTGATTTTTGAAAATCCGATTTGTTTTGAATGACTCTTAACTAGTCGTATCGTTAAAGTGACAATTATTATCGGTGGTTTGACTCACAATGCTGATTTTTGGTAATGTCGCAATAAACAAACGAAGATACATCACAGTTTTAGTTGTCTATCATTTTAATTCATATGTAAATTATATTTCCTCTTTGTATTTGAATAGAATTTATGTTGTTTTTATTATATCAAATTTGGAGGTGTAAAACACTTGAATTCGTGATTTTTCATACGCTTTACATCTCTCACCCATACATACATACTGCTGTTACTCGCTGACGAGTATTTGACCCGCATCAGAAGATGGTTGCGCAAGGCGCTTTCTTTCATGAGCTTTTCTGTGATTGAAAAGCCCGATACGTGATGTTATATCTCTTCCGCACTCCGGACATTCAAAAATCTCACTGCTTTGTTGCCTCTTTACTCTTTGGTTGTCGCTGTTAACTGAGTTTGCAATTCTTCTCCATTGCGTTCTATTGTGCGCTGCTTCAACTCATTCTGCAGTTTTCGTGGAAAATATCATTGTGCCTTTTGAGTTGTCCACCCGGTTTCCTCTTACCGTTTATAAGCTCACCGTAAAGCAGAGATTTTGGTTTTGGTGGTTTTCTTGCATTCTGTATACGTGACTAGCCCATCTTAAGCGGAATTTTGTAATCATGACTTCAACGCTTAAGAGCTATCTATAATAAGGTGTCTCTGTTGCAACTTGTTTAATGCGTTCATGTTTCGGCGGTACGGCACCCAGGTGTCGCTTCCATATAACATGGTGGGGATTATTATTACTCGGTACACTGCAAGTTTCGTTTTTGTGCTCTAGTCATGATTGTAGAAAACTATGTCTTTTAATTTCCAGAATGCTCTTCCTGTGCTGAATTTCAGAGTCGATATTGGCCTTTTCCGAAATAAAACTGCCGAGGTAATACTCTCAACCATACTCGCTCATATAACTACCCATTTGGAAGTAAATTTGAAATAGGTTTTCTAATATACGTATTTATAAAATGGTACAACAAATGGACAAAGAAACTAATATAGCTGTTGTCGTATTTGGAGTCCTTTGCTTACAGCACATTTTCTGTTTATTGATAATTTATTTCCTTGGTTATACCACAGACTAACTATAAGTTAATCTGTGGTTATACGAACCATTCGTTTGGCGAGTGACTGTGGATCATAAAATTAAACTGTCGATACATTTGTGGCATGTATTATTAAATTTGTTCCGTAACACCATCGCGTTCTTGGGACCGCCTCGTGATAGAGAGTTCTCACTGGCATCTCTTAGACGAGAACGAACCAACAACGATCCCGTTGGCATGCAACGCGAACATTTAAGTAAACTTCGTGCAAACTGGAAATAATTACGGTCACCGGTTTCGACTACCAACACCGCGCATTCGTTTCTCCGTTCTCTATGCATAAGATCTCCTGTTCTCTCCGTTACTGCCGTTTAATAATAGTCATACTGTCTCACGAAATCTCCGACTGATCCTCTTCGACGACTGGTTCTCGTCAATATTAAAATCGGAAAATGGCCGTTATTAGCCTTTCGTTTTGGAGATTAAGAACACGACTGGAATAATATCGACATAGGGGCATATGGAGACGAAACTTTTAAGTTTGAGGGTTGATATGGTATGGTAATTTGGCGCAATCAATCATCAACACAAATAACAACATTTTATTTAATATAGGAAACAAAATTGTCGAGAACATAACGTAGTTTACTTACCGGGGAAGTATTGTAACAGCAAATGGTGGCGCAAGCACGGATATTGTCAGCATAATCAGGAAGGCGCAGCGAGCCTTTGACCGATTAAAATCAATTTGGACCTCTCTTCAACTATCCACACAAACAAAACTAAGAATATTCAATTCTAACGCCATACCAGTTCTGCTATATGGCTGTGAGTCATGGAGAGTAACAAAAATATCTACCAACCGCCCACAGGTATTTATCAATCGCTGCTTGAGGAATATATTAAAAATCTTTTGATTCGACACATATGCAATACCGACCTGCTTCATTCAAACAGGGTCAACTTGGAACGAAGCAAAAACAACTGGGTGCTAGGGTGCCAGCACACCAAGAGATAGAAGGCAATGAAAAAGCAAACGATCTATTTAGAAAAGGAGCGAACACACCACTAACTGAACCAGAACCTTTCTGCTTTCCAAGTGGATATCCTAACTTAAAACGGAACTTAAAGAACCCGGAAGACTCCATCTGCAACCTGGAATGTGAATCTTCCAATGGTCTGAGACACTCGAAGAAATTTCTCAGAACTTTGGACCGAGAAAAATCAAAGATTTTTCTTGATTTAAGTAAGAACAATCTTTGGATTGTCACGGGGTTTTTAACAGGACACTGTTGCCTCAATAAACACCTCAGTAGATTGAAGAAACAACGACGAATGCAGATTCTGTGTAGAAAATGGGGAAACACAAGAACACCTTAACACTGAGTATTGTATTTGACTAAGCGGTTAAATAAAGCCACTGAGGCCGCGAGGGCCTATTGTGGCTTTATTTAACATTGAGTGCACCGAGAAGACAACCATTCGTGCCATAAACTTTGGTACGACTGATATTAGAAACGGAAAACTAATTTCTGTAAAACCGTCTCATATACTACTCTATACTACTACTTTTGTTAAAGTCCTGAAATTGTGTAATGAGTTATTTCTTCTGATGAGTTAATTCCAGAAAAAAATATATAATAGATATGTAAAATCGCGGTGATTAACCCCGAGAAGAAAGACATGGATTGTAATCACTGGTACCTCTATGATATCTGTGATTGTAATAGAAAACCCATTCATTTCATTTTTTCACTTTGTCCTTTTCTACTATGTGGAGCATAGGGCTCCAATAAACGCTCCCCAGCGGGTTCGGTTGTTGGCAATTGATTTAACATCTCGCCATTACAGGTTTACTGCTTCGATCTCCTTTTTTATTGTTCTTTGCCAAGTGTATCTTGGACGACCAGTTCTTCTACTGTCTTGTGGATTCTCTGATGGAGTTGACATCTTCCACTCAATAGCTCTGCCAGCGATGTTGTTGCCCCTTCGCCTTAAAGTGTGGCCAATCCATCTTCATTTCCTAAGTTTGATCTCGTTATACACCTGCCTCTGGTTGGTCAAGCTCCATAAATCCTAATTTCTGATAGTATTTGGCCAGAATATTCCTACAATTTTTCACAGACAGTGGTTTATGAAAACTTGGAGTTTGTTAATTAATGGCGATGTAATTTTCCAGGTCTCTGCACCATACAGCAACACCGACTTAAGTTTAGTAAGTTGACAGTACTGTCTAGATCTTCAAATATTGTTGAGCATTCCAAATGTTATTCTGGCCTTTTTTATTCTATTTGTGACATCTTCTCTGTGCCTCCGTTGGTTGAGATTATACTTCCTAAGTAAGTAAAATTATGTTTTAAGGGAGGGACGTTGCTGGTACAAGCTCTCATCGATTTAGTTTTTTTAATATTGATCTTAAGATCTGCAATCCGAGCTTCCTTTGTCAAGTCAAGTAGTTTTGCTGCAATATCCGCGTGACTATGAGAAAGGAGACGTATTTGATCTGCATAACTGAGATCTTCTAACATGCTAAAGGGAGTCCACCATATTTCACGATGATTCCTGGAAATTGTTCTCTTTAGAATATCATCTAAGAGGATATTAAAAGAAACGGATTAAATGAATAGAAAACCCATAACAACTGATAAGTGGAAATAGTTTTCATTACGTTCTTATCTAAAAATGTACCATTTAGCTTTGTATCGTTATTAATTACTGGGCGTAGTTTAGTTTCTATTATTTTCTGCTAGCTACTATTCACACACGAACTCGGACTGGAGGTTCTTCTTGTCTGATGCTTTATCGCTACATTCTTATTCCGTGTGCTTTGCGCGAGGAATTCAGTTGCGTGGCTTGATTTAAATGATCCATTTTATTCAACTAGATCGGAAAAGAAGCGGTCGGCGAGAGGCAGGGAAAGATGTACGGCCAGATAGATGGGTCGGCGGTCGCATCAATTCAGACAGATTTTTAACGGAGATACGTGCAGATTCTTTATGGGAATATGTTAATTCTCGTGGCATCGGACGTTTTAATAGATATTCTTCAGGTTTGGCCGACGTAGCCATAAGGTTATTAATACTGGTGTCGTTGTCGGGTTTCCTAAGAAGAACGTATAGGATTGTTGATGTTACCAGCTAATCTTTATGCCAATAACGATTTTTTTATATAAAGTTTCGCCCTCATTATATGATTTATACGAATATACTGTTTGCTGTACAAGTCTGTTATAAGAATTCATATTTCTTGCCCAAATATAAAAATAGTTGCAGTATACAGGATGGGTTAAATTGGACGCTTTTAAAGGGAAACACCCTTTTGTAGGAGGTAGACGAAAACTAATATCGGTGTCGGCAGCTCAATTTTTATCAAAAACGTGATGGTGAAAACCGCATATCGATATCTGTTAACGTTTCGGAGTTACAGTGTGTTTTTCAAAAACGTACATTTTTAACAAATCGCTGTAACTTTTTTGCTATGGAAAATTTTGTATTTTTATGAAAACACTTCCAAAGCACCTTTTTACGTAGAATTTAATGGTTTAAGTATAAATTTTTTAAAATTAATAATTTAAGAGTTAACAGAAAAATTGCACTTTTATTTGAGAGAGATACCCTATATATTTTTAATTAATTGACAAGAACTTAAAAATATAGCACACTTGATATTTTGTTACAGTCGCTTTAGAAATACAGAATTTTTAGAAGTTTGCCATTTTTAACTAGTCGGCTTTGAACCCCTTATTGATGATCTGCCCCTAATGGAACTCGAAAACATATTATTCCAGCAAGACGAGGCACCGCCTCAGAACGCTGAAGTAATCAGCAAATTTTTGCAGCCAATTTCGAGAATAATTGAATAGAGCTAACTAAGAGCCCAGCCGTTGGCCGTCGAGGCCGCTGGACTAAGCTCCTACGGATTTTTATTTTTGCGGAAGAATAAATGTTCTTATTTTTCAATTGCCCTATACGGCCCTATGCTTGTCTAGATTATACATCGAGGTTATCTTTCCCCCCACTGAGTTAATGAATTCCGCGAGAATTGCTCAAAAGTGCCGTCTGTCCATAACAGAAGACGGTCGACATGTGGAACACCTGTAGCAAAATTCTACATCTCTCATTGTAAAAATTGTTTTAATTGCTGCTCACAGCTAGAATTTTTTTGCATTATAGCCGGCGCGGCGCCGTTCAAAGCCTACTTGTTTAAAGTGGCCGAATTTAAGATCTCGAAGAGGAATCGAGCAAAATTTCAAGTATGATATATTTTTGGGAAGGTAATTTTAAATTCCTTTCAACGAATTATAAAAAATTAAATTTTCTATTGATAATTCTAAAATTATTAACTTTAAAAAAACTATACTTATACCATTAAATTCTACGTAAAAAGATGCTTTGGAAATGCATTCATAAAAATACAAAATTTTCCATAGCAATAAAGTTAGGTACAGCGATTTGTCAAAAATGCACATTTTTGAAAAAAAACCTCGTAACTTCGAAACGATAACAGATATCGATGTGCGGTTTTCACCGTCATGTTTTTGATAAAAATTGAGCTCCAGACACCGATATTAGTTTCCGTGTATCATCTATAGGAAAGCGTGTTGCACCCTGTACAGCAGCACTATGATCAACAGGGTAGTATCTATATAGTCTGTTCAGCGAGAGGATACATGACAGTGATGGTAGTTGCTGTTATTTTAGTTCATAGGTAAATAGTATCTTCTGTCAATACAGACTTTACCCTTATGAACAAAGAGTGGTTTCTTATGTTTATCTTGCGAAGGGTTAAACATTTATTCAACCTAATTAATTTAATACGTACCTGTATAACCAGGTTGACATGCACAGTGGTAATCGTTAACCAAATCAATGCAGGTGGCGCCGTGTTGGCATTGTCCTACGCAGTCGTTGATGTTTTGATCGCAGTTCTTGCCCATCCAGCCCACTCGACATTTGCAGTGATAATCGCCAACCAAATTCGTACAAGTGATGGCATTGATGCAGGGATTTTGAGTCTTACATTCGTCTACATCTATTTAAAAATAAACATATTAATCGAGCACATTTTTGACAATAATGTTAACAATTTCAAGAAGAAGAATATACAGGGTGATAATTTGAAAACGAACAGTATTTAATATTGCCTCTACCGATGATAGTATGAAAATTTGGCGAGAGAGAGAGAGAGAGAGAGAAACACGTTAATTTACATATCAAGTAGGACAATTTTTGAGGCATTTGTTGTCGTGTTATTTTCAACCTCTTGACCGCCAGGGCACCTACCCCTAAAATTTTAAATAGCAACCCCTATTTCTTTTACCATGTTTGTATTTTTTATATAATTGTACATAAACTGCGTTATTGTTTTGAGAATTTTATAAGGAACACAAAAATGGTAAAAGAAATAGGGGTTGCCATTTAAAATTTTAGGGATGGGTGCCCTGGGGGTCAAAGGGTTGAAAGTAACACGACAACAAATACCTCAAAAATTGCCCCCTTGATATGTAAATTGACGTATTTCGCCAAATTTTCATACTATCATCGGTAGAGGTAATATTAAATTCTGTTCGTTTTCAAATTGTCACCCTGTATGATATTACTGACACTATATCATTTGTAATTGATCATTAGGAGAGACTGTATGACGTATTCCTCTTCTTTTGTAAATTGTACTAAATATTATTTTATATTTAAATGGATCAGAGTAACACGAAAAGCTTAAGTTAACATATTTTTTGTTTAATGTGCAGGTGCATTTTCTTGTGCAACTTCGACAAAACATAGGTTAAGTACAGATAAAATCGACAGTAGATACCTTTTTGCTGCTTGTTGGTTTATCTAAACCAAGATACAAGCGTGTCTGAGGTGCGGTTAAGATACTTTTGCGTTAATTCGATTACTATTTCTGTGTTTCTTTTATTTGATGGTACTAATAGATATAGAATATAATGAGCGGAGTGCTGCAATAGAAGTGCGTAAGAGATACTCACTTACTTTTCAATGATCGTTTCAATACAAGTTCTCAGGTTGTTTATACAACCAGAAAGTAGGTTAATTAAATGAAAATAATATATTTTTTAAAATTCTTGAAATAACTTTACAAACTACGTGAATAAGAAAAGAAGTCGTTGATCCGAATTTTTAGATTCCAACTCCAAGTGAAAAAAATACGACTGTATGTGCCAACTAAAGGAAATATATGTTATTTTCAGTTTGTACTAATAAAATAACAACTAATAAAAATTAACAGTTAACACTAAGTGTTCTGCCTCTAGTTCTGCACTGAGTGGGATAATAAATTCGATAATTCAATTACGCTTTCTTACATTTTCACTTAGCTTAGCTTGTTAGTGTTGTATCTTTACAGCGATCGTGTAAAATTAATCTAAGCTTGGTGATACAAAAAACGCTCAACATGGCACGTTCTCTTCAATTTTTCTTGAAAGAAAAAGTGAAAGGTCCAAGGACGTCCAAAGAAATCGATATATATTGCCAAATCGATATTTTTACAAAATTCTATTATTTTTTTTAAATATTTACGTTACTTTTACTGTAATTTATATGTTTTATGTTTATGTGGATTAAAATATTTAGTCACCACTAAATTCTAGTCTACTGTAACTTCAGACCAACTGTAGTACAAATCTGGTATAGTTTTGGTTTTGGTACATTTTTAGTATTTTAAATATTTTTTTATATAATACTGCAAAATACACTCAGATTTTTGGTTTAATTGTTAAAATGTTATATTTTTTTTTATTTTTAGCCCTATTTCCTTGTTTTTTAGCAAAATGTTTATAAATATATGCCCTATAATTCGTATATTCAGTTTATTATAAACTTTAGTATTTGACTAATATTGATAAGTATTGAAACAAGCGAAGAGTTGTTTTTTACCTTATTTTTAAAACATCCTGTGCAATAATTTTTTTGACACTTTAGTTTTTGGTATAAATGAATTGTGTTGTGAGACTTCAAGCTTAAAAAGTTTTACGAGCAGACCTTGCATGCGAACACTCTTTTTTTTTGGAACCTCTTTTAGTGCGAAGTGTACAAGATACAGAAGCGAAGAGTTGTTTTTTACCTTATTTTTAAAACATCCTGTGCAATAATTTCGTGAACAAAATTTCCTAAAATACTATTTTTCGGTCAGAATCATGTCTCCTGAATATTTTGTTTGTTGACCCATGTCAACACATGCCTTGGTTAATTTTAAGAACAAAATGAACTTGCCACAAACATTTTGCAATTTTTTCAATTTTATCGTTACTTTTTGATATTAGGTATACTTCATAATGGCGAGGTGACTTTAGTGATATCACACTTATAGGATATCTAATCTGTGATTATATTGTTGTGTACGATTGAATATGGTTCTTAGTGCCGAAGATTGTGCAAAAATCATTGATCTTATTGAAGATGGCCGAAATTATCAATATTCGCTTGATCCTTGAAGAAGAATGGGAAAATGGGAAAACATAACACAATATATTTACAGCTTCATTAACAGTATGAACCGACGTCACAGATAGTTATAGCAATCGGGAGGGGCAATACGTATAAGTATTAGAGTATTTTTTACAAGTTATTAGTTTGTTTGTATATTGTATACTTAGTTATTATATACATATGTTTCCTTAGTTCTGTTAGTGTTACTAATATTTATTAAAACCAGGCCTGTATCGTTACTTTTTAACATTTTTTAAATTTTAATATAGAGTTCTAATCAGTGTCGACATGACAATTCGACAATAGTCACCAAAGCCGCCTCGTTATATTAAAAAAACATCATAAAGTAATGATAGGTGAAAAATCTGCAAATTGTTGGTTGCAAGTTCATTTCGCTCTTAAAAAATAACCAAGGCATGTGTTGACATGAGTCAAAAAAGAAAATGCTCAGGAGACATGGTTCTGATCCAAAAATAATGTTTTAGGAAAAACTTTTAAGTAACTTTTTAGTAACTACTAACGAAATTATCGCACAGGGCATTTTAAACTTATGGTAAAATAATCCTTCAATTAACCCTGTATAATAAGCCAAATACTAAAGTTTATAAAAAAACTGTAAGAATTAAAGTTAATAAATTTACGAAATTTTAAAAATTCATGAAAATAGAACTAAAAGTAAAAAAAAATAATTCAGCGTTAGATATCGATATATTTTTCTTAAAATGGACATCCCTACAAAGGACAGTGGACGTTTGACACGAAACTACCATTAAGCTAATTAATGCAAATTGGGATTGTCGAAAAAAGCTGAAAACGGTACGCAACTTACCGAACTGACAGAGGTCGCCCTCCCACGCCGCGGGGCAGTCGCACCTGAAGGCGAATTGGAGGTCCACGCACGAACCGCCGTTCTGACAGGGAGCCGAGGCGCATTCGTCAATGTCTGAAAAAGAAGAAGTTACGTATAAGATGAAATGAGCTACGTAGTAAACGGACCAATAAATATGCATTCGTCGAACGAAAGCAGAATAATTCATTTTTGTTTATGGGCCGGGTAAATATCATCGGTACATTGCCGAAAAGCAACAGAACGACTTATTCAATATTAGCTGGTTATCTCTGTACATATTTAGAGATCTACAAATTTTCTATACCAATTAAACTTTTAGTTACGTAATCGAAGGCGCGGTTTTTAAATTCATTGTTGCCAACCATGGACATAGGTATATGCGGCGCCGTGCTGACTAACGGGAATTTAAATTTCCCGCTGGGGATTCAGGTGGTAGCTCTGCTGTAAAAAATGTTAAGTAAGTTGCCACATTTACAAACTAAAAAAATTCCGAGGGTGTTATTTAAAAATCAAAAGTTTTAGTCATTTACCAAACCGAAAACAATTGAGTACGTCAATCAACCCCAATTTATGTCATATACTAACATACCAAATATCGTTGTTTTATCTGAAAAAATAAAAAAGTTATCGGGGGTGAGCCACTTGTGAGACGCACCCGGTATTTCCTGACATTGCCATTTGTTTTGACACTTTAGTTTTTGGTATAAATGAATTGTGTTGTGAGACTTCAAGCTTAAAAAGTTTTACGAACAGACCTTGCAGGCGAACACTCTTTTTTTTTGGAACCTCTTTTAGTGCGAAGTGTACAAGATAGCTTAATGACCGTAAAAAACTGATCGCAACTTTATTAGAATATTTTGAAATGAAAAGCGGTAGTAATGACCCTTTATGTCCCTTAAGTGCTGTTCAGGAGGTGAGTTTTGTTGATGTTAGTAATAACTGTTTATATATTATTTATAATTAATTTATTTTTGTGTCCTAAAATAATTTGATTAAATGAAAATATGTAAAAGTGGGCAGTGCCGGTTAAGCTTACTCACTTGACTAAAAGTTTATTTGATATGAACTATACATACTTTACTCTATGTTTAGAGTAAGGTGAATAAGCAAGTTTTTCTCAATAGTAAATTTGATGGAGATATTTTGTGAATTGTAGAAGTATTCAACTGTCTATCGGTTCCATTCCAAATTATCAAAATCATGAAGTAAGTTTTATAAAAATATTTTTACTTCAAAGTTAGTCGCCTCGAAATAACCAACTATTCTGATCTGACACAATCAAATGTTAAACTAACAAGGTAACAACGCAAAACCAGGCAAATTTATTTTCTAAACGTTAGGCTTTTGCCTCATTCGAACCAGTTTAAATTTACAAAAATGCATTTCGGAGACACTAACAGTAGGTACTATAATCAGACCTTTAAAAATGTATTTACGACTTGGCTGTAAAATAACAGGGAAACCAATAATTGAACAGTTAAAATTTTGCATGGGATTTCTTATGTTTCCAACGCCCGGTAGAGTACAAATTACCAAGAATTTCATTTTCTACAATCACATTTTCTTATAGTATCTTGAAATAAAATATTGATCTTGAACGTTCTTCATTTCCAATTTTATTTATTTTCATCTCATGCTTGGAATTAAATATACTATTCAAGTAATAAAAAAATGTTTTTACTCATACTATGCATTAGGATTTTAGTAGTAGTAGATGATTGTACAGGATTGAGCATTTTTCTATGTATGTTCTGTGTATCACACAAATTAAGAAAAAAATGTATAAGCTGTTCTAGAACATAATATATGCAATTCTAGAAATCTAGAATACAATTAGCAGTCTACATATTTTAAAAGTACAATTAGCGGTATATAAACCGAGAGAAATAATACCATAAAGTTACTATGGTATTTAGATATGGTTTCGTATTTTTTACAAAGAGATATTTGCATTATTTTTACAATTCTCAGGTGTATTACTATTCAACTATGTATAGCTTTGTGGTATCCGTTGTGACATATTAAGTACAATAGTACACTACAATGTCCAGATTATTGAAGTACTGCTAAGAAGTTGAAGTGCATTCGTCAACGTCGAAGAAATGAGTTACGCAGTAAGAGCGGTAGTAAATATGCATCCCTGCAGCGGATGCAGAATAATTCACTTTGTTTGATGTTTCAATCGAATGGCATGGAAATTTTGCCGAAAGGAATGATTTGTTCTTATATTGAATACTGGAAATAAATAACTTTGTTTTAAGAGAATAATCAGAATATAGAGTGGTATGTGTGTGATCATAAAATATTTTACATAGTACTTATACTTAATATCGAACTATATTTCAACAAAGAACTTTGTAGGCAACATCTATGTATGTACTTATCTTATTGTAAATATTACAAACATGCGAGAGGTTCAATATCTACGATATGCTCTGGACACTGCACAGAAGAAGAGCAATACAATTATTATTATTAACAACTTAAGTTAAAATAGTGAGAAAGTGGTCTATCCTGTTATTTAATATACTAAAGTTTTTTCTTAAGTTTTGAAGTTTTTATAATATTTTTTTCTCAATCGCAAGCAAGTTGAGATCAAAAATCTGACTACATTGTTTGCGCTCTTATAAAATCCCTAGAAACACGTACGGTATGTTAAGCTTGGTTGAATTACGGGTTCGAAACCTATCATTAGTTGGAAGACGTGCAACACCTACCTTTGTCCTACATTTTTTCTAATTTCATTTCATTTCGACCATAGTAGCATTTCGTATCGCGTCGAATTGGGTAATAATTCATTGTGAAGAATGTTTTCAGATTTTTTTCTTTTATCGTGTTATGACGCCCCCGAATTACTTTAAGATGAAAGCGTAGAACATGGAAGCATTGGTTTAATTAACTTTGTTTACCGTTGTGGTTGCTTTCACGTGGATGTGACATACAATACCGGGTGCGTCTCAAAAGTGGTTCAGCCCTATAACTTTTTTTTATTTTTACAGATAAAAAAACGAGATTTGGTGTGTTAGTATATGACATAAATTAGGATTGATTGATGTATTCAATTGTTTTTGGTCACTTCCCGTTTCACCGGAAATGACTACAACTTTTCATTTTTAAATAGCACCCTCGGTATTTTTTACTTTATTCGATAGAAAATGACATTCTGAATAAAATGAGATATCATATGTCAACTTTTGACATTCTCGCTTAATAAAAAATTGTATCTTAAAATTCAATCTAGAATGCCATGGTTATTGGAAAAAACACTAATTATTTATCAAGGAGCCTTCGAAAAATAGATTTGATCATCTAATTTTTTAGTGTCTTGTCCTGGCCAGTTAGAAAATGCTCAAATTATTTGTATTATGCTCGTATTTTTAATCATATCTCAATTTTTTCAAATGGAATGAGGGTGGCTCATTAGCCTATTTGGAAAAAGCATTTTTTACGAATAATTTGATACCACACACTTAGTATTTCAAGTCAGATTTTCGTTACGTTCGCAAGGAATAATTTCAAATAAACCATATGCGAAAAGGTCAAAAGTTGACATATGATATGTCATTCTATTCAGAGTGACATTTTCTATCAAATAAAGTAAAAAAATACCGGGGGTGCCATTTAAAAATCAAAAGTTGTAGTCATTTCCGGTGAAACCGGAAGTGACCGAAAACATTTGAATACGTCAATCAATTCTAATTTATGTCATATACTAACATACCAAATCTCGTTTTTTTAACCAAAAAAATTAAAAAGTTATAGGGGTGAGCCACTTTTGAGACGCACCCGGTATAGTTTAACGTGGGAACATCATTCCTTGTAATGACCCAATTGGTCTGTACTTATGGGAATATTAAAAAATATGTAATTATTCGTGAATGTGAATGGGAATTTGAATATTCGCTATATCACTAATCTCTACGTATACAGTGCTATTTCATTTTATTTTGTTTCAGTTTTAACTGACTATAGGTAAATTGTTTTTGGAGATTGACATTTGGAACATTCATTAAAAAATTGTAGGCATTGTAGCAAATGTTTGAAAAGTTAATTTACAAAAAAAACGTGTCCATTGAGTTGAATCTTTATTTTGAATCTCGTTTTTCTAGAAATAATAATTAATATTTAATTTTTAATTTTTATTGTAATTACAAAAATAATTCGGACAAGGCGGGTTTTGTTGCAGTATGATGCATATTGCGGGTTTTGATACAATATGATCAAGAAAAAACGGTGTCAGCGATGGATATGCAATGAAGAACGCTGTCATTTTATATGGAAATGTATAGGGGAATTGTCTTCGATCGTCATTTCCTAGCCAACTGGACGCTTTTTTTTTCATTATATGGTATTTGCATCCTAACTTGATTTATTAAATATACTATTTTATTAAAATTAAATAAGGATTTGAAAAGACGTTAGTAGTATTATTATACTTGTGTAAAAAGCTTCTGAAAAATGCTGGATTTGTAGAATAATGACAATAAAAAGCAAATATAAGTGGATTTTGCTGCAGTAACGTAATTGGTAGTGAATTATATATAGGAATAGGCGGCTTTTGCTGTAATTTAGAACTCTGTTTAAATAAAAAAAAGTTAAAAATGGATAAGGCGGGTTTTGCAACTTGACGCCTCAAATATTTCTGAAACCAGTATATATTGTATAAAGAAATAAAATATAAAACTATTTTAAAAAACTCACACAATAATTCGCACATAAAACAGGTGTATTTACGGCTGTTCAAAAGCTTTTCTCAACTATAGCCCTGCAGAAAATTGCGTAAGCATATTAAAATTATATCAATCATATAAACACAATATATCACAATTTATCTGGTTATGATTGTCGTTTTGGTTAGTAACAAGAATACCCGTTGATATTAAGGTATTCATGGGAGATAAAGATGAAAACAATCTTTCATAAATGTATTACGTACAATTATTAAATTATTAATTTTCCTAGTTAAAATATATGTGATTTTATGACAGTTTTTGGTTAGGTTACGACGATAATGTATTTGAATGTGTGCAACTCAATTGTCGTCTATTTCTCTTTAACTTTTCCTCGCAGAACATGGAAGTGAACCCTGAACG